GGGGGCACTTTTCAAGAAGTTTCGTTCTGCCGGGGCGTCTTTTTGTTTTCCCCCTTATTCCTCCTTATTCCTCCTTCTCTGTGCGCTTCTGGCAGAAGCTCCTGAACCTTCGCTTCTTGACGATTGGGGCCGGCCTACTACGGTTGCAGTGGCATACGTGTGGCAGCAGTCAAATCAACTCTTCCGATCCTCAATCTCAGGCCGCACGAAAAGGTGCTTCTCATATTCGTTCGCAGAGAACACGGCGGAAGGCAAAGACGGGGGAGATCGGTCCAAGGGATGATGGCCTTATTCGTAAAAAGTTCTAAGAGAGGATAGATATCACGCGACTATCTAGGTAGTACTTTCCCCCAGAACAAAAGAATTGGCGAACAGACTGGACGACAAGAAGTCGTAGATCAAGGGAGAATGGGAAGGGCTCAGGTAATATGTGTGTGTGTGTGTGTGTGTGTGTGTGTATGTGTGTACGCATGCAGAAGTGCTGTTATATAGAAAAGCTGGTTGGGTCGTTGGGGAGGGAACAGGAAAAGATGCAAGAACTCGCTCGCTAGACACGGACGGTAGGTACCCGGGGAAAAAGAAAAGGAGATGCGAACAAGTCCGAGCGCTCGAAGCTAAGAAAGGCTGAGCCCCATGGTGCACATTCAGCTGTGGGCGGTGAGAGGTGAGAGTGATGCCGAGGCGAGCAAAAGGTGGGCCTTGGTGGGGTTGGGGTACTGTACCTGTTTGCCAGGGTCGTGGACTCACTGTACAACGTACGCTGTATTGACCGCATTCCTCTATGCCTTTAATTCGTACCTGACCTTTTTTTTTCTCCCGCCAAGTACGGAAGAGACAGATCTAAAGGGACTGGGTAAGGTAGGTATGGTAAGGTCAAGGGAATGGTAAGCTTCAGCAGCACCGCCTGTGGTGTTGTTTTTGCTTGCTACCTTATGCTCTGTCTGTCAGGACGGTCTGCGTCCATTCAACCTGGAAGCTTGTACGCACGCATGTTTTATGTGTATCGGTACCTCGCCATACATAAGTATTCCCCAACCCCCGTTGGTCGTCAGTGGTAACTACCTAAGGTGGGTGGTCAGTAGATATCCGTATGGCTTGCGCCCTCCTGAAACGGTCTCTGTCAGACAGTGGAGTCTTACTCGTACCGTTGGTACCGTTGTACTCCATATAAAGTACCTTACCTAGGTAGGTACGAATCAAGGTACCTTACGTGGTCTTGGTCTTGGATCCCCATTTTAACCATAAAAGGGGTGCTACGATTATTTTTTTTGGCAATTTGGTGTTTCGTGGGGACCGAACTCTCGGCTTTTGATATCTGACCTAACCAAACGCAAGCAGCATTCAGGGGTCGGCTTGGCTAAGGTAGTTAGGAACAGGCGACAATGGGGAGGTTGAGGCCGCCGGGAATGATAAATAAGAGAAAACAAAGACGGTTGTAAAACAGTTCTTTCAGCATTAATTATGGAAACCTTTGCCGAAGCTTTCGACTTTGTGAGTAAACAGTTATACCTTACAGACGAGGTAGAAAAGTGTTATAAAAATTCAGAACAATCCATTGCCCTAGAGGCAAACGAGAATAAGACGGAGCACAGTCATACCGAGAGTCAGATGCCGATCTTAGTCATCGAACTTGACAAACATATGTACCTAGATGCAGATATTTGGTTTCCAGTCCGAGAACAAAGGGATATGTATGATTAATTATTTCTTATTGCCTCCGAAGCTCCGCACATGCCTGTGATTACCATCGTACGGATACCTAGTATGGATGCTTATGGAGCCCTACCGCCAAACTCGATGAAACGCTCATGGATTTCCAGCCGTTTTACAGCGCCATTCAGAAAATGATCTTGTGGCGACACTTTGCAGAGCCTCCTCTTTCTTTTTCACTTATTAATAATAGTCTTGTCTTCCGTGCCAGTCAGATCCAACCCTCGCTCTCCCTATGATTTCATTAGTGTTCTTCTGTTTACGTACGAAGTTCGAATACAACGGAGTGCTTTTGTCTACTCCATGTTGTTCCCCAGCTTTGACCCACAGAGAACGACAAAGAACACGATCTCGAGAACGGCGCTAACCAAAAATACATTGCCAGTGAACATCTTCCAAGACCCAAGGCATGCGGAGGCTTGCAGGGGGGGTTCGAGAGGGATCTCACGATCGGCACCCTCCCGGGACGATCCCAATCTTTCCGACTTCATACCTCAAGTGGACATGCAATGATTAAGCAGACGCCGTGTCATATGGTACGACTGCACGACTTAGCTTCGTGTTGCAGCTCATTCGAAGCTAAGGCAATGACGCGCATATTCATACTTTTTTTTTCCGGGTATTTTACAAAAGAAAAAAAAGAAAGAAAAAAAAAAGCCCTTTGGTTTGACAGTTCAAAGAATTCTTTCAAGCGGGCTTACCGAGTACCTAATTAGCTGAAAGATATCAGATACAGAAAAACGGAGATAATTATCCGTCGTCGTCGTCGTTATTAACGCCATTTCGTTGAATCAATTTCTAACGTCCGTAAAAGCCGGGGATTCTCCCAGGTGAATCTCTTCGAACCTACACATATACATATATTGGAGGGGCCTATATCGTCGCGGCCGATGCCCTGGCTATTGCTCGACTGACAAAATCAATGATGACATCAGTGACAGGCATTGTCAGTCATTGTTGTTCCAAGGCTTTTGGGACGATTGCAAGTATCAAGTCCAAAATCCCGACACAAACCACAACCCCTTCAGGAACCGGCTACGCCATGAACGGGAAGAGTAAAAGGCTCAGAGGGATCTGAGAAGTGTTCTACTTTGCTTCAATGCAGGCGCTGTTTCACTCAGTCATACACAAATGAGTTTTGTCGTTTCTTGTGGCCATCGAACGTACTGGGGGATGGGTTTGTCTAACTAATATGACACAGAGTCTGGCTCGTCCTTTTCTTTTTCTTTCTATTTAACAAAAAGGGCCTAGGAATTTCCCTTTTGCGCTCAGGTGGTCGACAACCGTTTTGCGGGTTCCCGAGCAACGACAGACAGCCGTTACGCCGTACGTTCAAGGGTGGTGGGTGTACCGAACCGTTAATCAGCCACAGACATAGACTCGCGTACACGTTGCATGAGATGTTGGAAAGCGGCTACCCGAAGACAGTGAGATACGGATGATGGCGTCATCTCTGTATGGTAAGTAGGTATGAAGTTGTTGATTCCCAGCCTAACACGATAAACAACCATTAACAAACAGGGAACATGCAGGTACGTCAGAGAGAGCCTGCAGCAGAACATTGTGTGTGTACCACGAACCGAGCTTTCCATTGCCAACATGGTCCGAGAAGGGTCACCCAGGTCAAGTCAAACGACATGGAGAAGCAAAGCAGTTCATAATAAGCATTATGCCTTGAATATCTCTATTCCAGTCCATACGTCATGAGTGGTACCGTGCTGGTCCGCCGATGGGGTGGATGCTATTCTTCCAACTCGGAAAATCTGCATCCACCGCCATTTCCCCCTCAACCCTTGTCCATTTACGGACTATCCCCTGATCAATAAGCTTCCTCTCGTAACCTATGCCCTGGCCCTTTCGCCTGGAAGCACCAATCCGATGAGACATTGCTCTCTCTGAGGCACATTGCTAGCTACAGCTATGTGCCTAGAAATCGCCGCATGTCCGCCTGTATGACACCGCTCTATCCCCCCGCTTTAGGAGAGCTCCAGCGCTCAATCCTAGTTGAAGAAAGAAGACCAGCCTACAAAAGAAACGCCGCTGACTCTAAGACGCCGTATACCCAATGGCTAACTGCCTTTACTGCCTGTGAGGCACCACAAAGTGGGCTGTGGAGAGAGAACGTGTCAGCGCTTACTCGTTTTGCCATGATAAGGGGTTTTTTTTTTTCTTTTGAAAGGGGCTTGGGTGGTATGCATACTGGGCTGGTTGGCAATGAGCTGGACGCGGCCAATGACGTTCCGGTCAACGAACTGGTCCAAGTTGATGCCATGGACGTTCTGGATGAGGCCGAGGTTCAGGCCGCCGAGGTGCAGGTTGGCGAGGTTGAGGTTGTTGAAGAGACCCTGCTGGTGGAAGGCGAGGACGGTGTGGAGCTGCTGGAGCTGCAGAAGGGACTGGACATCGAAGGCTTGGGCGTTGAAGAGGTGAGAGAAGGCCAGCAGGTTGAGGTTCTGGGCCTGACCAAGCTGCTGGAAGAGGTTGAGGTTGACCTGGTTGAGGCGGAGAAGGTAGTTGAGGTCAACGTTCTGGAAGCCCTGGAGGCCGTTGAGCCGGGAGAGGTCGAAGGTGGTGCGAGCTTCGATGGTGCTTAGGGCGGTGGCGGAAGTCTCCTCAACAACGGCAGCCGGGGCAGCCGTGACGAAGGTGGCGGCGAGGGCCGAAAGGACGACGGTGAAGAACTTCATTTTGAGAGTTGGGATAGAAGGCAAATGAAAGCGGCTGAGGGAGTGTGGTGATCAGAAGAAGAAGAACAAGAAGCAAAAATTAGAATGAGCACAGCTCTGATATTCTGTAGGGGTATCTGAAAGAGTGGAAGAAAGAAACTAAAGAGCACAGCTGCAGTGGATGGTTAGCTGGGTTGATTTCAATGACGATCTATTGAATGCCTGGGTTGCTTACCTCTGGAAGAATAAAAACGAAAAAAAAAAAAGAATGGAAGAGGAAAGGACGGGCTCTGTTTGCTGGATTGCTTGTGGGATGAGGTAGAACGGAAAAGATCAGCAACCATCGGCATGAGCCAGCGTCTTATATACACCATCAAGTGAAGCTAGAAGAGATGAAAAGGGGGACCAGGCGGCGCCACTTACGGAGTAGAGCTCCGTTGCACTGTTGCTACCTCAATGACGGGGTGAACTGCGCTTGGGTGTGATCCAATGCGTCGCAAATCGGGAACCCAAGCTTCATCCGGTCTGAAGACAATCCACTCCGTACTAAGATGTCTCGAGGACAGGGGTAGAACGACGTCCTCAGGATTTGGTAGAACATGTCTCCTTGCGAATTTCGAAGGGGATAGGTCGGGGTGACACTGGCACGTGAACAGACAGACCGAAGGATAAGGTATGGCTTGCTTCTTCCTGCCAAGAACCGCTCAGGCAAAATTCCCGACATGTAGGTCCAAGCGAAAAGGTTCGGAAAGGGATTCGCCCGAAGGGAGGTGGACGAGGTTGGTGTCCCAAGATGCACCCTTTGCCGGGGTGGAAGATACGTTGTAAGGAAACAGAAGAGCGAAGGCCAAGAGAACAAGGCCACACGCAGAGCCTCCTGAAACCGCCCTGAACCGAAGCAACGATGTAATGTGATGGTTGATCTCAGCCGAGCGAAGCTGGTAATGACTGGGATAGGGACTATGGAATATGGACTCGGTACTAATTACAGCGCAGTCCAGCCATTTTGTTAAGCCGATTAATTACCGAGTAGACAGCGCTGGCTGTTGGCAGCGTCCTCACGAGGCCTTCGAGACGGAACAAAGCCAGGCGTGGTTGGCTCCTGGACAATTCTCAGTCATTGCCCAGCGACTGACCCTGACATTGCGGGCAGCGTAGCAAATGAGCCCCAGGAGCCCGGAAAGTCAGCAATCCGGTGCCGGAGTCTCTGGTCAGTCGCTTGGCGGGGCAAGACGATGGCGGGAGACAGAAGAAGGCATGACGCAAGAGCATCCCGAGACGAGACGAAAGACAACGTGAGACGGAGACTGAGATGGGATGACATGAAGATATTGACGCTCTGGCAGTCAGTGTGCATCTTGGAGGTTCTTGGCCGTGACATTCGATCAGATCTTGGTGGGGATAATTTGTGGAGAATGCCATAAAATATCGATAACTATTGGCCCTGAGACCCTTAAGAAAGCCCAATAAGGTTTGACAACCCCTCGGCACGGGGCTAGCGCGTACCAAACATGTACCAAGCACGTACCCCTTAGCTCCTCTGATTGGAGCCCCCTGCCACAGAGCCGAACTACCCGCCCCACATCGGATGGTAACCCCCTATTCTCACCTGTGTCACCTATGAAACTCCCGATTTGTAAATTATCTTGGATGATCGACCATGAACCTCGTGGTCAGGTCGAAAGGATCTTGCTGACTGGGGGTGGTGGATGTGAGATGTTCTTTCTTTCTTTTTTTTTTTTTTTTTTTTTTCTTTTTAAAAAAAACAGCCCTTCTTCAGCAGACAATAGTGCTTAAGCTCAGACCGAGCAGTTGTGAAGGGACGATATACTGTCCGTACTACTCCGTACGCCGTAGTTCCCCTCGCCGTAAGCCACATTACAACAGACATCGTGTATTAGTAACTACTAACTACCCAGTATGTCTCCAAGACAACGGTTGACGTTCTATCCAGATGCGAGAAGGAATAGTTTGGGCTGACATCGGAGTCGAGGCCAAGTCGTGCTCGCTTGGTCTGGAAGATGCCATTGCCCCTTTGGAGGAACTACGAAAGTAGGTAATTACTTCGTTGTGGACTGAAAGTTACAGGTACCCGCGGTTGTTACAATTAAGTATATCTTCCGTCTTTGTGATAGCTACCGAGCTCCCACCGCGTTTGCTTGCCCCCCCCATCCCGCGCCCTATTCCCGAAGCCTGGATTCGTGAGACTTGTAGCTCCGAAGGAAACACCGCAAGATCCTGTCAATGGTACAGAGAAAATATTACACATCGAATTTCAGGCCTTTCAGCCAAGTGTGTAAATTATCAACGCCTACAAGACACCGGTTAATGCTAACCTGGCGTGCGTAGCACCCTCTCATATTCAACCCCAAGGCAGGGGATTCCCCATTAGCGGCCGTCCCAGCTCCAGTCACACTAAGTCTCCACCATCTGAGCATGTCGCTTAAAAGATGCCTACCGCTCGGATTTTGTTAGCCTTCGGGAGGGTGTCTGGGGGAGCGCTTGGGGATGGGAGGGTGTCTCTCTCACGTGTGCTGAAACCGTTCAGGAGACGGCCCTGCTGAATAAGCGTCACCACTTGGAACTGGTTGATAATACCGAGAGACTGGAGCTGCGCCAGCTGCTGGAGTTGGGCGAGCAGCTGGATGTTCTGGTTCAGGCCCAGGTTGAAGATGTTGGCGTTGACGAGCCGGCCCAATCCAAGGCCCTGCATGAGCCTGACAATGTTGTTCGTGAGGACCAAGCGCTGGCGGGTCGTCTCGAGGTCGACTTGTTCCTCCTGCTCGACTTCCTCCTCCTGCACGGCTTCCTCTTCCTCCTGCGCCACTTCTTCTTCCTCTTCCTCCTGCACCACCTCTTCTTGCTGTCTCTCCTCTTCACCCACCCTCTCCCCCTCCTCAACCTCGGCGTTCTCCTCTTCTTCTGCAGGAACCTCTTCGACGGCGCCCTCTCCTGTCTCGGGAGTTGGTACTGCGGATGGCTCTGCCTGCTCTTGCTCCTGGCGCAGCATGAGCGCCCCTGGGCGGTTTGCAGCCTGGGGGATGCTCAGCGCCGACACTAGGCCAGCAGATAGGATGAGGACCGTCCAGGGCTTCATGATGGATTCGATGTAGGCAGCTGACTGTATATTACCCTGAGGGGAATATTGTTCGAGTAGCCGCTTGTTGAGTTTCAAACGCGAAAAGGTGGCCAAGGTAAATGAAATGAAAGGAAATGGGTATCTCAAAAAACGAAAAAAGAAAAAGAGAAGAAAAAAAAAAGCCTTAAATGAATGCAGTGGGAACAAACCAAAAAGAGTCCAGCTAGGTAAAAGGTTAGCAGATTGATCACTGAACAGGCTTTCGAATACACAGGGACACAAGCCACGAACCTCTTAAAATGAAGAAAAGGAAAAGAAGAAGACGAAGACGAAGAAAAGGGACAGTAGATATGGCAGATAGAGTAATCTACAGATGAATCCGAGGAAACAAGCCTCTGGGGTTGATGGGGGACATGGAGGCTTATATACATTAAGCTCTAGCTAAGCTCCAAAGGTAGAGAAGAAAATGTATTCGTAATGTCAATGGTTGACGATGTCTATGGTCCCGGTGAGTTTCCAGTTCTCGGCAAGGTCTTCAAGTCCGCAATGCCGGTTTCATCAGATGACCATGCCACAACGACGTCAAAGCACCCTGAGGACAGGCTCTCCAATGTCTCATCGACCGACAACAGACAACATGACGTCTCAAGATGGAGTGTCCCAGGGCCTTGGCTTGGAATGAAACGTTTAATCGGATGGCAGAGGAGGGTGCGGCGGGAAACATGATGATTGCATTTGTATTCGTACTCGAGTTGTGCTCAACTTTGGTTCGAGCTTGGTTGGGGTTGATAGCCGTGCATCATTAACTATGCATAATCAATAGCCCGGTGGAACTTCTTCGATGGCCCGTAACAAGCAAGCTCAACGTGAAGTCATTGCAGGTCCCCTACACCTCTGAGTACTGAAGTATATCAAGGGAGGAGAGCATAGATAGGGACAAAGGACCATTCCCAGGGTGCCTTTATGGGATATCGCGGGGGCGGATGCTCAGAAAGCGGGTATATGTTTTTTTTGTTTTTGCTTTTGTGTATGTTCGTCATCTCCGAAGATTTCCTTTCAACCACCTCTCGGTCTTTGTATTCGATTACCCTCGCTCACGCCCACCCCCTCGCCCCCGCCCCCGCCCTCCGGCTTTGCCTTGTGGGCATGGAACCCTAGCCATTCTCCCAGTATCCCGCCTGGCTTAGGCACGGGACACTCACGCTGCGAGCGTCCTTCCGCAATGTGTCGTGCCTCGCCATCCTCGTCGCCCATCTGGTTGAACTGTACCATGCCGTCCTTGATCTCTGGGGTTTCGCGCCTCCTCCGCCTCCTACGGCGGCCGTCCTCGCCGACGACGACGTCACCGTCGGCATATGTGACACGCGGGGCTGGACAGGGCAGAATATGCGGTAGGCCGACAACGAGGAAGCTGGCGAAGACGGTGGTCGCGAAAAGCGATGAGGTCATGCGCGACCTCGGGTGTAGGTGTGGTGGCATGATGTCGTCGTGGGTTGTCGGTGGGACAGGATGGACGAGAGATGGACGGGGGAGATGGATTGTGGGGAGACAGGAGACACGCTCGGTCTGTGAGGGAGCTGGCAGGAAGGAGTAAGTAAGAACACAGTTCAATTGACGAGGTTAGGGTCATTTTTAGCCGTCCTTACCTATCACCGCTTCATACTCGTGCAATTGAGCGATGTTGAGCGGTGGTGAGTCCTAAGACGTCGGGCGGGAGGCTCTTTGCTCTTTGGGAGAGCTGGAGGTATCGTACATGGGCTTCGAGCTGTCAAAATTCTCGGCATCTCGGTTTATTGAAGACGTACCGGTAAATGCGACTGGGCTCGGGCACCAGCCACAGTCAAGCCACATTGTCTCTCACAGGTACCTTAATAATGTACCTTACCCTAGATACAAAGTACCGATAAGACATTGATCCAAATATGGAATTGTGGATACCTGTCATCATCCCAAGAAACTTACTTCCCCTCGAAAGCTTGGGGCACTTTACACCTGACAGGGTTCCTGGACGAACTTGGATGGTCGGGACTTGTAGGTGATAATTCTTCCTTGTAAAACACCGCCAAGCGCTGGAGATTTGGCGATCGGCAACACAACTCCAACAATCGATTATTTGCAAACGCTATTACCGACTCAACCGACAGTCGCTGCAGTGTCTACCTACGCGTCATCTACCCTCCGAATACGATAGAAAGACGGAATGCGACCGATAAAACTTTCACTTTCATGACTCTCCACTGTCCAGGCCGCGATTCCTACCTAACAGTGCAGTGCAGCGCGTGCTGTCGACACCCGACGACGCGCCATTCCCTCCGAGTGCGATTACCGACCGGTTTCGCTGTAATATACCAATAACCCAGCTATCATGAATGATCTCGACAGGTTCGTCTACCTCCAGTTTTTTCCCCCGTGTTCCTTCTTTCATCCTCGTGCTGATTCGCACTCCTGCAGAGCGATCGCGCAGTTACGCGCATGCCGGCCAATCCCAGAAGCCGAGGTCCGAGAGCTCTGCCATAAAGCGCGCGAGCTGCTGATAGAAGAGGGAAACGTCGTCACAGTCACCGCACCTGTCACGGTATGTCTACACACTATACTCCACACGAGAGAGAGAGAGAGAGAGAGAGAGAGAGAGAGAGACAGAGTGGGGGGGAGGATAAGTTTGTGGACAAGTAGGAAGGCTAACTTGTTCAAGATATGTGGCGACATTCATGGTCAATTTCACGACCTCATGGAACTATTCCGGGTCGGTGGTGATGTTCCAGACACAAACTATCTCTTCATGGGTACGTTCGTGTTACATTGTGCCATGCCCCCCCCCGCCCCGTCCCCTGCTATTATTATGCCATGGTTGATCGAATGAGGGACACTTGGCTGATCTTGACTGTCGCCAGGCGACTTTGTCGACCGTGGCTTTTACTCTCTCGAAACTTTCCTCCTCCTCCTTTGCCTCAAAGTTCGCTATCCCGACCGCATGACGCTTATCAGAGGCAACCACGAGTCTCGCCAGATCACCACCGTCTACGGATTTTACGACGAATGCATGCGCAAGTACGGCTCGGCTAACGTCTGGCGATATTGTTGCGACGTATTCGACTACCTCGCCCTCGGCGCCATCGTCCTCGGCGCTGCAAACTCCCTCGGCGACAGGCCCCAGCAGGAGAATGTGCAGGACGACGTGGAGATCGAAGTGTGCGACCATACGGGATCTATCATGAGCCGCTTCCAACGGCAATTAGATGACGAAGAGTCCATGACGGACAACAATCACAGCCACATCAACAACACCAGAGGTCATGACGGGTCGAGTGCAAGTCCGGTAGTGACCAGCGTGACCAGGGGCGCGCGCGGCGGCGGGGCGGGCGACACCGGGGAGAGGACGGGCCCCCCGGGAAGTGGTGCGTCGGGGAGCAGCGGGGGGAGCATAGGCAACCCGACCGGCGCTGTCCTGTGTGTGCACGGAGGCTTGAGCCCGCTCATCGACACGGTGGATAAGATCCGGCTTCTGGACCGAAAGCAAGAAGTACCGCACGAAGGCGCCATGTGCGACCTCCTCTGGTCGGACCCGGACGAGATTGACGGCTGGGGTCTTTCGCCCCGAGGTGCCGGGTTTTTGTTTGGCGCCGATATTGTCAAGGTCTTCAATCACCGCAACGACATCTCCCTCATCGCGCGGGCCCACCAGCTGGTCATGGAAGGTTTTAAGGAAATGTTCGATTCGTCCATCGTCACCGTCTGGTCCGCGCCCAACTACTGTTACCGCTGTGGCAACGTAGCCGCGCTCTTGGAGCTCTGCGACGAACCTTCGGGGACCGGGCTCTTCGCGCGGAGCAACGGCGACGCCAGCCGCAGCGCCGGCGTCTCGAGTAACAAGGGCGTCATGCAGGAGGGAGACGCAGTCCCCAGGAGCGGGCCTGCGCGGAGATATCGCGTCTTTCAGGCTGCACCGCAGGATTCCCGCGGCATGCCTGCCAAGAAGCCTGTGGCGGACTACTTCTTGTAAATATCTAACCTCCGGGCGGGGCGCTCTATGGGACGGAATTCAGGAACACCATCCCATCTAACCGTTTCTCGTTCTGTTCTCTATTTTTTATGGATCTTCGTCCTTTTTTTTATTTTATTTTATTGGCTTCCCTTTAATGATAATATGGGGTCAGCATCGGAGTTGGGGAGGCTTGACATCACAGAGTGTTGGACGTTGTTTGGCTTGGGGGCTCTCTAGGCAACACGGAGGGCCATCGATATGATGACGAAAAAAAAAAAAGGAAAAGGAAAAGATAAACAGCAAACGTTATATGATCCAATGCTCAATACATGATTGTCGGACACATGGCGCATGATTCTAAAACAAATCACCAAGTTTCGCCAAGTCTCCAAGTCGAAATCGAGATGCCAACAAGAACTGCCCCTAAACAAGCAAATCAACACCATCCATCCCATGGCATCTCAGGGATACCATCGAGCACCTGCTCCTTCCTTGCCCCCCCGGTTGGTTTCTTTGGGTCGATACCTAGACCACAGCGACTTGAACCTTGGACGCGAAATTGGTGCTTAGCTGCGGCTTCGCCTCCGCGCGGGGCGCGAATTGCAGCTCCGTCGATACCAGGCACTCCACCTGGCGCAGCCACCACACGAAGAGACCACCAACGTAATCCACCTGGAATAAAGTGCCTCGCAGCGCGTCGGCATCCGCTTCGCGCTGAATCAGCCGGGGGATGACCTCGTCGGACAGCATAGCGACCATCGCCTTGTACGTCTTCCCGTTCTTCCGCTTGGCATTCGGTCTCCGCGCCTGGTAGTCCGCACGCTTGCGGCGGGCGGTCGCGAGCTTCTGCCTCGCCCTGGCCACGTCGATGGGGCTGAAGTCTGTCTGGCCGAAGACGTCGCGCATGCGCAGGAGGACGCTGCGGCGCGGCGCCTGGTCTTCCGCCAGCGCGGGGTGGTTCTGGAGCTCGTCGGCGAGACTGAACAGGTTGCAGATCGCTGCGATGATGTGCTGGCCCTGGGGGGCGAGGGTGGTGGGTGATGCGCTGGTGGCGTCGTCTAGGTTGAGTAGCTCGGGGACGGCGATCACCTGCATGGCGGGGATGTAGTAGTCTTGCCCCGACGGGATGGCTCCGGGGGACAGTGGGCTGAGTTCTGCTAGCCTTAGGTCTGTCGGCGACACGATTTTGGGAGGCGGCTTTGGAGGTGTTTTCTTGACGAACACGATCTTAGGCGGCGGTTTTGGGGGCGTTGTCTTGGACTTCGCTTGGTCTGTCGGCGAAACGGTCTTTGCTGGGGTTTCTTGGTCTTGAGCCGTTTCCTTCGACTTCACTTCGTCTCCCGGTGGCACGATCTTGGCTGGCGCGTCTTGAGGTGTTGTCGTCGACTGCCCTTCGTCCAGGGGTGCTGTTTTCTTCTTCTTCTTCGGCGTTGCCTTCTTCTTCGTCTCCGTCTCCTCCTCCTCCTTCTTCGTTATCTTCTTCGTCTTCAGCTTAATCTTTATCTTCTGCTTCTTCGGGGGCACTGGATCAACTTGTGGCTTTGGGGTCGTCGGATTGACAGACTCCTTGGGCGAAGGGATTTTCGGACTGGACACTTCTTTTGCTTCTCCTTCCTCTGTAGGCTCATCGACCACTGCCATGGAAGCAAAGACTTGAGGAACGTCATCCAGGGATAGCATCGTCCTCATGCTCGACGGTCCTTCGTCTACCTTGGACAAGCCCAGCATCTCTCTCAGATTCTCCCATTGGCCCTGGTTATGTTCCATGAGATTTGACTCCTGGAACGTCGCCAGCAGCCTGGTCCTCTTCATCGGTGGTTGACCGAAAGCAGTCTCATGGCGAAATCTCTTCAGTGCCAGATGGCGAGACCGAACGGGATAGCAAACCTCCATGATGCTGCTGTCTCTCCTTTGACTGCCTTATTCGCCAAAACTTGCATCGACCTCTAAAGTTGATATTAGTTACTTTTGTTGTAATCAAGAAACAACAGAAAGGAAGGGTGTACCTGTAGGTAGATTCCGCTGTCTGTCCTGTCAATATTATTTTACTGTTGTCCAGAGGCAATAACCTCAAGGGAGTCGTGAGAGTCGTCAAGGCATGAGCTCTCCGGTGATGGAGCACTGATCATTATGTATTATTTTGTCTATCTTTCTCTCCTTCCGGTAGCCTGCACCAACACGGGGGCCAGGGAGTGCATCTTCTTCTCTCTCTCTCTGCGCGAAAGCTACAGCGAGTAGTTCCAGATGCGGTAAGATGGGACGCTTTCCATTGTTCACGGGGGAAGGGGAGGGGTAATTAAACAAAGATTATATTCCAACCATGTTTTGATCAAGAGACCCTTTATTCTGCTTTCCGCATTGGTGAGTAGAGGTGGGCGTGCGCTTTGTTGGACACTCCGTGGCTGAGTTCCCCTTCCTTTGTGCTGTTGAGACTCCCATCCCTCGCGTCGACTCGCCGTGACTTTCGTTTTTGATTCCGATGACTGGATTTGAATATTTTCTCCCTTTTTTCTGCAAAGACATGCGACCTTTAAATACTACCGTCGGGTTGCGTCATGTCGTTCCTCGCGGTCTTCCTCTAATTTTAGATCGTATCACCCATCTGGCTGGGGTGCTCACTGGTTTGCATTCTGTATTGCCCGTATCATCGGCCTTGCTCGTAGTCTTCTTTAGTTCTTCACCAGTGCCTCAGCCAGGCATTTATGACCTGGACATGGTACTCTTCGAAAACGAGTCTCTCAAGCTCCGACTTCCTGTCCACCAGAGCCCTTAGCTCTACCTCGCCAGGCGAATCCTGAAATCGCTTCCGCGCATTGACGAACCTCCGACAGCAGGCTTGGTACCTGACATTGACAGTCTGAATCAGCCCTTTCTGCTGGCACTTGATGCACAGATCCGGGATTGCACCACCCTCGGGTATGGTCATCGGGATGAGGAACAGGCCTTCGTGCGTGACGTGTCGCGTCGTCACCTTGTGCCCGCACTTGCGATACACGAGACGTCGTCGGCAAAACGGGCATGTGTCGTGATCTGCAAACCAGGCATCCAAGCAAGCTGCCCCGGCTACGTGTCCGCAGGGCATCATGGCCGGAACGCTGTCCCCCCAAGAGCCGTCGGCTTCTTGGGCAGCTTCTTCGCTCTGGAAGAGCAGCCGCGTGCACTTGCAGATCTGGCAGTGTATTTTGTCTGGTTTGTCGATGAGAAAGGTCACCTTGGGGCAAGGGACGAAACTACTTTTGGCCATTTCAGAGTCTTTCGGCTTCAACCAGTGGCGAATTAATGACAGCCAACCTTTAAGCCTCGATGTCTTCTCCTTCTCGTCTCCTTCTTGGCCTTCATTGTTGTGGTATTTCTGTTGTCGTTCTCGCTCTGTCGTAGACTTCAGGTACAGTCTTAGACTCTCGACGCTAGGTAACATCGTGATGTGGCACCGATATGACCGGTCTTTCTCAGTGGCCTTTTTCTTCTCTTTTTGTTTTCTTTTTCTGGAAGAGGTTGTATATGAAGCTGATGTATGTAGGTTGTAAGTTTGGAGAGAAGGGCAATTTGACAACCTCATCGTCTAAATAGGCCAAGACCCGTCACGAACAGCACAATCTATATTGAACAGATGAGCTCTCTTCAATGGTGGTTGACTCCCTTAACTGACCCGTTCTCAGTGATAGCGAACATTTCGCCTGTGTTCGTATACTAGGAGAAAGCAATGAGATGATACTCGTAGTATCTGGAACAGAAAGCACCCAACTGTCTGCCTGAAATGTGATAGCAATGCTGTAGGGTTCGTGTAGTATGCGGCTCTACTCGACCCTCCGAAGCCCAGCTTCGGGCATCCTTGCATGGAAGTAGGGCCACCATCCTTGATGGGCAGTACGAAGTCGTGGAGATGCTGAGAATATGCAGGACTATCCTATAATTAGGACTGGTTTCAGTCCAGAAATCTTGAATTAGAATCGCCTGCCGTCTTCTTTCAGCCCCCGCCGAAGTCATGATATCGTCAAAGCTCAGGTCAAGGGTGGCTGGTTGTAGGGAGGAGACCTGACAAAGAGATACTGTCAACAGCTAACTACCTGATTGACAACAACATGGGATTGTGGAAGGGAGATGGAAACGGGTCGGGACAAAGACGTCGAGTTTGAGGGGCTCCTGTAACATCGACGCGTGCCGGAATGCTTTAATACTGAAGCAGCCGACTTTAACGTGGCCGTCCTTTGCATCAGACTCAGCAGAGCATTTCAGTTGAAGCAACCCATCCCATATCATGTTATTGCACCTTTTTGCGATGGTGGTCGTATGGGCATTACTGGCCTGCGCGGAGACCATACGCATCGATGTCGGCATCGTACCCCAATCGTTCACACCAAATACGATCAGGGCCGATGTAGGCGACGTCTTAGAATTTCATTTCCATCCGCAGAACCACAGCATCGTCAGAGGCGAATACGCACAGCCCTGTGCACCCATCAACGAAGAGGGTTTCTTCTCCGGATTCGTGGAGGCAGAGGCGGAAGAACAGGTGAGTTCCTGCGCGAAGTCAAGCTGCACGATTTTTTTTTCGTTCTTTTGGCCCACTGAGAACCGAGATAGAATCAAGTCTTCAAAGTCGTCGTCAATGACACGAAGCCCATCTTCTTCTACTGCGCCCAGGGTTCGCACTGTTCCATGGGCATGGTTGGCGTGGTCAATCCTCTGGCAAATCAGACACTGGAGTCTTACTCGCGAAATGCAGTCGGAAAACCAGTCTTTGTTCCTTTTCCGGTCACCGCGTTTGGAGGTGAGTTCGCAGAGACTTCGGCAAGGGACGGTGGCATGGGCGTTGATGATAAGGATGATGATGACGACGACGACGACGACGACGACGACGACGATGATGGTCCGGGGACGCCGTCTCGCTCCGGGGATAGTAAGAGTAAGGGAGACATCGACAGTGACCCCAACAGAGACGGGGAGGAGGACAAGGGCAGGGCGGGGACAGTGAGGGCCTCTCTGGTAGGGCCGCTGTGTTCCCTTGGATTTGCCTTGCTTCTTCTGCCTTGAAGACTTGTGATGGATGTGAGAAACAAAACTCTAGGTCAGCTGTAACTGACCGGTCATGCCAGTTGGGGCCAGCCAGAATTTGCATTTCTTTTGTCAACTACCTTACCTTATTGTATGATAAGGTAATTACGGGAGAGACCATCCTTTCGAATAGATTTCCTTTGTACGTTGTCAGAGCTCCCAACACGTAATCACATGCTCAGCGTGGTTTCGTGTTGGACTGGTAGATAAGGTAGATAGATACATAACCATATTAGTCATCTTTGCGATACTCGGCATAACTGTCGGCATTGGGCGGCGGGCAGCCAGTTTCGTCATTTTCGTACTCAGTAGTTCCTCTTACCGACTGTACCCACCACGGTGCCAAAATCATGGTTCCGTTCCGGCTTCCTTCGTGCCGAACCAATCCTCTCTACTTTTTTCTACTCTACCAACTAGACAACTAGCATTTCCAAAGCCTGCAGCCCGGTTTTGTCTGTCTTGTTCTGTTCGTTCCTTGCATTAGATACCCTGCGACGGCTCATGTTTCGATAAGACTGCGACGATGCGCTCTTGCGCTGCCACTGCGACTACCCCTCTTCGTCGGCTAAAGGCCAGCGCGCCTCCGCCGCCGTTCGCGCGGCTTCACCTCTCCTGGCAACGGCAGATCCGAACAGTCTGCACAACGTGTCTGGATGAACTAGGAGTGGGTAAGACACTGCCATGGCAAGCCTGTCAGCTCAGGCAATGGCGAGGGACTCCTAACCTACATGCCGCTAGACAGAGGAGACTTGCGTCGACCGCTGCACCAAGTGCCGCGACAGGTATGTACATAGATGCTTTCCTGACCGCGACCACGCCACTCAAGGCTGACTGTATTCCCGAAGATATCAGCAAGGACGATAACCTCGGTCCTCTCCAGGAATACGATCGTCGCGTGAACACCGGACTCCTGAAGAACGACGAGCACCAACGAGGCATCATTCAGAGCCTACAGCGTCTCCACGATGATCTCGCCAAATACCGGGCACCGCCGGTCCAACATCCCACCGTCGAATCTCTGAAACCTGCAAAATCAATTCTCGGCTCTTTGTTCGGAGGCAAAAAGGCAGGCAAAGGGACCATCGGCGCGATACCCAGCAATCTTCCTCGCGGCCTATACCTGTACGGTGACGTCGGCAGCGGCAAGACCATGCTGATGGACCTTTTTTTCGACACCTTACCAGGGTCTGTCAGGTCGAAGACGAGGATCCATTTCCACAATTTTATGCAGGACGTCCACCGGAGGCTGCATAAGATGAAGCTGGAGCATGGCAACGACATGGACGCAGTGCCCTTTGTGGCCGCGGATATCGCCGAACAGGGCAATGTGCTTTGCTTTGACGAGTTTCAATGCACCGATGTGGCAGACGCCATGATTCTGAGAAGGTTGGATCAACACCATTTTCGTAATCTCATGGTAGGCTTTGCCCCACACTAAACAGCTAACACCATGGCAATCCAGGCTTCTTGAAGCCCTCATGTCCCACGGCGTCGTGCTGGTGACCACGTCGAATCGCCACCCAGACGAACTTTACAAGAACGGCATCCAGCGCGAGTCTTTCATCCCCGCCATCGAGCTTCTGAAAAACCGACTTCACGTCATTAACCTCGACTCCCCGACCGACTATCGCAAAGTGCCACGCCCAGCATCCTCCGTCTACCACACCCCTCTCGACGCCAATGCCAAATCACACGCAGAAAAGTGGTTTTGCTACCTGGGCGACCCCGAGGATGCCGGCAATCCACCGAGGTCCGAGACGCAAACGGTATGGGGACGCGAGATCCACGTCCCCCGCGTCAGCGGCCGGTGTGCCTGGTTTACCTTCGACGAGCTCATAGGTCAGCCAAAGTCTGCCGCCGATTTCCTCGAGCTCGCGCGCAGCTACGACGCCTTCATCGTCACCGACATACCCGGCATGACGTATCGACAGCGCGACCTCGCCCGCCGCTTTATTACCTTCATTGACGCCGTCTATGAGGCACGCGCCAAGCTGGTCCTCACCACCGAAAAGCCGTTGGAGGAGCTCTTCGTGTCGCGTGAGGAGATCCGGCAGACCCTCGGCTCTGACGAAGACGCCATGTCCGTCATGGGCGACCTGGCGGACGCCGAAAGCATTGACCGGGCCAAGATGTCTAGCTTGTTCTCCGGTGACGAGGAAGCGTTTGCTTTCGCCCGTGCCCTTTCGCGGCTCAGTCATATGAGAAGCAAGGAATGGGTAGAACGTGGATTGGACATTGGAGAGCAGAACGGTGTGTAGGGCCATGTGACAGCTGACGCAGAAGCTCGCAGTCATTAGACAAAGGAGGCCACGGTTATAAAGCGATAAGCTCCATTGGGTTTTTTTGGGGGCATTTCATCTTTACAGTTGGCATCGTTGTGCTTGAGCTCATAGATAGATAGCGTCGCATAGTCATGGGCCATGATTCGTATCCATGCTATAACATATTGTTTACCAACAGCATCTTTCCGTCAGCATGCGACTTCCCTGTAATAGTAGCCTACCTAGAGGCACTCCGTCAGGTGTACAATGGGATTCGAACGTCACTTTCAGTGTTGGATGTTTGATGTCTCGACAAATCGCAAACAGGTTTTGTCTTGATAGAGAGAAAAAGAAAATGAAACAAAAAAAAGCAAATTCAAAAAATATTGACTCAGGGGAGGCTCGATCTCCCGACCTTCAGTGTGTTAGACTGACGTGATAACCAACTACACCACCGAGCCAGCTGTGAACTTGTTGTATTTGGAAAGCCAGAGCTGACTAATCTAGCCATTTCCAAGCCTCCCTAACCCACCTTCCCGCCTCTCAACCGCACTCCGCCCCTGCAGGAACGCTGCACAACGGTTCAACAAGGGTCTCCCTGTCCGCTATCTTATCACGCGGGCAACCCCGAGGCCCACCGTAGCTCCCTCCGATGACGACCATCGTCACTCCCGCGCAGCCTAATAATTACCGGGCACCTACTCTTCCCCCTCTTCTAACCACAACAAACATACTCAATTCTCCAACACCATATTTAGTCTCGCCGAAACATCAACTTTTGTCGCCAACTATGAAGATCTCCAAGGCCACGGCTCTCTCGCTTCTGCTTCAGGCAGCTTCGGCTCGTTTCACCATCGAGAATGAAGCTGATAACGTTGTCCTGAACCCGAACGAGGTGGATCAACAGACATTCTTGATTGAGCTCGCTCCTGGAGATACCAGATGGGTGACAGAAGAGGAGAAATGGGAATTAAAACGCGTACGAGACTTCTTACCATGGCTTTGGTCTTCCCACGGTTAACCTAGGCCCGTTACAGGATGGCAAGCGGTTCTTCGATATCACCGAGACGCAAGATCTCGGCTCCTTGCGGGTCCAGACAAAGAGCTTTTTCCCGGAAAAGTGCGAGTACCAGGACACAGTCAGGCCCCTTCTCAAGGACCTGTCCAAGGACAACATCCAACGCCGGCTCGAGAAGTTTACCAGCTTCCACACGCGCTACTACAAGTCGGACTACGGTCGCAAGTCATCCGAGTGGCTCCTGTCGGAGATCAACTCCATCATCAAAGAGACTGGCGCGGACGAAGCGGGTGTCTACGCTGAGCCCTTCGCGCACTCATGGCCGCAGAGCTCCATCATTACCACTATCCCGGGCAAAACCAACAGCACGGTCGTGATCGGCGCGCACCAGGACTCGATCAACCTCTTCCTGCCGAGCATCCTGGGCGCGCCAGGGGCCGATGATGATGGCAGCGGATCCATGACCATTCTCGAAGTTTTCCGTGTCCTCCTGAGCAACGAGGAGGTGCTCAAGGGCGAGTCGGAGAACACGATTGAGTTCCACTGGTACAGCGCCGAGGAGGGCGGCTTGCTCGGAAGCCAGGCCATCTTCTCGCGGTACGAGCGGGACGGGAGGGATGTCAAGGCTATGCTTCAGCAGGATATGACGGGCTTCGTGCAGCGCACTCTCAATGCTGGCGAGCCCGAGAGCGTCGGCGTCGTCACGGACTACGTTGACGCGGGCTTGACCGACTTTATCAAGAAGGTTATCGTTGAGGTAAGCCTGACCACTAATTCCCCCCGCTCCTGCGCTCTCGTCCCGCCCACCGTTCGTCATTCGTCATTCGTCATTATTGCTTACATGTTTTTGTTTCTTGTAGTATTGCGACATCCCATACGTCGAGACAAAGTGCGGTTACGCGTGCTCCGACCATGCCTCAGCCAGCAAGGCCGGATACCCTTCGGCGTTCGTCATCGAGAGTGCATTTGAGTACTCGGACAACCATATCCACACCACGGAGGACCTGATCAAGTATCTGTCGTTCGACCACATGCTGGAGCATGCCAAGATGACTCTTGGTCTCGTCTACGAGCTTGGCTTCACCGACTTCGCCGCTCTAGAGACCGAGGCTGTCATCTCCGAGGAGCTGTAAATGGTGTCCGGGATAGATGCGTTGGGGCATTCAGCGAGAGTATGCATTTTTACATTGCATGTATATTTGTTTTTTTGTTTCTCCTGTTTGGTCTGTGTCTGACTTTCCACGGCTTTTGCATTGGTTATGGTGGCTTAAGAATAAACTTATGGTTTACATGATTTCTTGAAATCTGGATATAGATAAGATCATTGAGATGTCAGGCAGGCCAGTTCATTATGGGTCATTTCTGATGTTATCTTTCCGTGCAGCATAGGAAGGTAGTTATATGTCTTAAATCCGAATACAGCTACAACGGATGGTCGTGTGAATGAGGAGCTATAGCGAACGAATGAAGTTGCCTGATCCATATGGAATGCTTATGTAAGCTGATACCCTTTTCAAACGCCACAACGGTAGGAGTACAGTGGGGGAAGGAACGTTCGTTCGGATAGAGTTCTCCAACTCCATGGAGGCCTACGATACGATGTACCTACGTTTTTCTACCTACCTTATGTTTTGCTGATGATGTCGTGTAATTAATTGGTCCCGTGGTTGCCTGTTAATAATTCTCTCCCAACACGTTTCGCTCATCTCAAGCAGTTTGCTCAACAGAACAACTATTCGTACTTTCTTTCCTCTTCTGGTTCCTTCCTGCCTCCTGCCTCCTGCCTGCAATGCAACAGCTCATATCTCCAGGCATCTCCTCTGCGACGGCTACGGCGCCGTATACGCAGAGGCCACCCAGTCCACCTCACATCCACATACCTCTCTATACATATCGGGACATGATATTCCTACCGTCAAACGCCAATCTTGCGGCCCTAGGCCTCACGCAAGATGACATGTCCGTCATAACGGACGGCTACACGCCTCAAATGGCAGACAATGATCCCACCGTCTCCTGGTCATATGAAAGCCGCCGCAGCGCTCAGCGCATTCTCGATTGGCTCTACCTTGGACCGTCATCCGCTGCCCGCGACCTCGATTTTCTTAAGAAGGAGGAAATCACCATGGTCCTCGCCATCCGCTACGCCGTCGACGGCTGCGCCCGCGCCATGTCCTTCCTCAACGTAGGGTTCACGCCCGCGACGCGGGACCTCGGCATCGCGGTCGAATGCGTCGAAGTGAAGAGCGCCCACCACCTCGCCGCGGCGTTCCCTGCCATCATCCGCAAGATCAACGACCACATCCTCGCCTTCCACCGCCAGCCTGACATGGGGCCTATTGCACCCCCGGGCGGTGTCTCGGCGCGCCCCTCCCGCGGCCGGGTCCTCGTCGTCTGCGAGACGGGCAATGAGCGCTCCGGAACGGTCGTGGCGGCCTATCTCATGGCCATGTTCAACGTCGGGGTCGTCGAGGCGATTTGCTTTCTCAACATTCACCGCCTTTCCGCCTCCTTGACGGCGGAGCCGAAGCACTTGCTTACCGCTTGGGAGGATATCCTCAAGGCCGAGAGAGTGGTTTCTGCGTCGCAACTAGACATCCAGCAGCGCGGTTCTTCCGGTACTGCTTCCGCTTCCGTCTCGCGGAAGCGGAGTATCGGAGCTACCTTTGACGACGATGAGGATGTTGCTATGCAGGAGAACCAGCTGGCGACGCAGGACGACCGCCAGAGATTCGGTTGCAGAACTTTCACGCCTTTTGCCGACACTAGCGACGATAACATGGCCATGATGTGAAGGGCTTTTTGGCCCACTCGTCTGTATTAATGACTTTCCCCAAAATGGGTTTACTATGACCATTATGACGAAGGAGCAGGGCGTGATTCGGAGTCGTCAAGGCATTGCTTTTTTTGCTATTAGCAAAGGTTTTCTTTTTCTTTTGTTCCTTTCTCTTTTGCTAGGAGTTGGACGGATGGAATATGATAGTCGGATTCCGGTATTGAAAACGAATTAATGCCTGATAACGGACGGCTTGCGGTGATACCCGACTTCGCTACAACAGCATTGCACTGCATCCTCTAGAGTATCGTATTTGGCTTTTTAGAAGGTAGCTGCCACGGGTAACCATAATCATTAATGCAAGTCTCATGATAATGGTTCGGTGTTGTCGGACAATACTCTACAGAGAGGTCTGTTCCGTGTTCTTGACCTAGTATAACCCGGCCATCACGTTGCTTGGATGACTTACATCGACCTTGGGCTATGTAAGGTACCCACAGGAACTTCCTGTCCAATGGCCCAGCGTTTTGCATGTAGCAATCTGAGGGTAGTGGTGTGATGATACCGAGTTCTGCTCCCATAACATTGTCTTTGGATTATGTTGGGAACCCTCAAAGAGTTCCGTTGTTTGCGGAGTTGTTCCTCTATTACTGTGACAATAGTATTTGATAGTGATACCACTCACCTGATATTGATGTTGCTATTATAAATATGCCAGATGCGTTAGGCAGGGGCATACACGAAAGAGCCGGCGACTTGGGGATATTGAGCACAGAATAGTATAGAACATTAAACCCATATGATATGCCTAGAGACCAAGACCCGGCGCAGGTAGAGCAGAGATATCTAGACCTGGACTTAGAAGGGGGAGAAGAGAACAGGCATAGGAGAGGTGAATGTTGCAATGATGAGCTAATGGAGTAGAAGCTGCGTGAAGAGTTGGAACTTGACAGTGTGTGTAGAGGTGCCTTGGGGGGTTAGCACAGACGTTGGCCGGTAAACCACCGGTTAAGCTCTTGCCTTGATATCTTGAGTTAATATGGAAGTTGCGCACCTTCCTTATATGCAAACTACACGCTCTTACCCTCCTATATTGCCTCCATAACTATATCCAGGAGTAAGAGAACAACACGCACCGGGCTATATAGCTGCCTATAGCCCGCGTTGCCAACTTCACCATCATACAAACAACAGCATAATACCCACAAAACGCGCGACAACAACATGGCTTCCTCTGGCAAGTGATTATCCGTTTATTTGATTCCACAGGTGTCTAATACACATATAGCCACTATCTTGCCCAACAGGCAAGACGAAAGAGCTCTGCGTCGTCGTCGTGATAGACAGTGGATGAGGATGCTTATGGCTTCCACTGGTAAGTGAATAAATAACCAGCACATATGTTAACGATGCGCGCAACTAACACCCTTGACAACAAAGACTCTCCAGGAAGCCCTATGGATGACAGGGAACGTCTGAAGAGAAAGCTCATTGCCTATTTTCCAGAGATGGCCACCGGAACTGTGGGCTCTTTCTTTGATCGGCCGCAGTACCAGCCAGGCAATAGACCTATCGATTACTGGAACAAGCTGACTTTGACTGCGCAATGGATCCTCATCAAAACAACCTCCGACGGCCCTGGCACGGGCGTCGCGATTGCCTGGGTTGAGCAACTTGGCCTGCCCCGCGAGGACTTGTATCAGTTCTTCAAGATATACCTGCGCTATTTGAGGGCCTACTTGAGGGCCAAAACAAGAATCTACGAGAAATATGCGGATGAGGCCCTGCAGCTATTCACCACTTTGGACGATATCACGGAGCTCCATCGAACACCTCTCCCGACTGACCTCGTCACAGACGAGGATATCAACAGGGCGATTTCCTACCTCGAGAAAATCAACAATCGCACGCACATCGAAGGTGTGCGCAAATGGGCCGGCCCCAGAGGTGATTTCATCTACCTCCCCTTCGAGGAACAAATCTGGGTCTTTTTCGGGATGCGCCATGACTGGGAGGCAGCATTGACCGGTGGAATCGACGTTCATCCGGACCTCTACTTGGGTGGGGGCCCTCTGGCGCCAACCCCCATTGAAGAGGGATTCGACTTCTACGGGGAAGCCAACGGCGGAGAGACGTTCGGCCGTCAAGAGGAATCCACCCAAGAAGAAGAATCCTCCCAGTTGCCGCGCCGCATCCGAGAAGCAGGAGCTCGCATCAAACCGAACGAGGGTGGCATTCGCCCGGTTGAATATATCGATCCCCGCCTTCTATACAAGGAGCCCGTGGACGAACTAGGCCACCGCCTGGTGTTCAGAGCAGAGGAGCAGATAGTCTCCCGCGAAGCCCCCAAGGATGAAGGAGCGAGAGAGGAGAGCAAAGTGGAGGCTCCGACGAATTTTTTGACCGCCATGCGTCAAGACAAGCTGTTCGGTTCACCCATTGGCCAGACCCTCGCTAAACAAGACCCCGAGAAGAGCAACGGCGCAGGAGGAGAGAGCGACGAGTCCGACGAGAGTCCCAAGAATTTGTACCGCGAGCGTCAAGAGAAGTTGTTCAGTGGTGACTTTAGCAACCTATGCGAGGACGAAGACGACGACGACTATGCTCCCTCCAAAAGGCGACGTTTTAGCCAGGGGAAGCGCGGCACGAGCCAGAGATCTGGAGACAGCAGCCGTGGCGCCCGCCGTGGCCGCTACCGCAGATCTGATGTCCAGACTGAGCCCGTATCCAGAGGTCGGGGAGGTCGGGGAAGGGGACGCGGTCGACCCCGTGGTTCGCGAAACAGAGTCTCGGCAGGTTCTAAGGGTGACCATGCCACGAACACTCAAGCGCGATATTTTCCTAGTGACCCCCTCGGTGGCAATGAGCGTCCTGAAGGTTAGCAAGCTGAGGGCGGCCAAGCCAAACCTCAGCAAATCCAAGTTGAACTGATGAAGCGCGATTGTGAAGCCGAGAAGGAGACAGAACAAGGCCACGGAATAGGGTTCTGACCGGTTGGGCGTTACGGAACTCGCTTTTGACGAGCTAACTACTGGTTTGCTTTTTCTTCGCCATGAATGTGGCCTCACGGTATTGCAGGGAACATGGCGCATAAGGAAACGGGAGGGAGAGACAGACCCTTTGATAATGCTAAGAGGCTTTGCATTTGGATGAGGTCTCCATTCGGCTTTTGGGTGGTTGGCTTTTCGAGAAGAGAGAACACTTGGGTTGCCTGTGAAGCCAGCCCTAACCAACATGGACTGGGCAGCTGAGAGGTGTCGTCTGGGTTCGTTGCTCTAGATCTACGAGGAGAAAACAGTAGCTTAGCTTGAGAACGAAATGGCACAGATTGACCTACAATAACAAGTTTGTGAGAGGGAACTTGGTCAAGAGACGATCATTCCTTCAACATATGAAGTTGAGATTTACCTTTATGCTTACTAATATTCTGGGTGACGTCCATGTCTCGGTTTCCTGCTCCAACGGCCCATGAAGTGTGGGGTCCTGGTACCTTTCCAGGTCGACAGGCCCACATGCATCCGTGTGGAGTACCTCCTGATCATTACAGTGTACCCAGGCCAGGTACGGAGTGCTCGCAGACTCTATGCCCGTTGAAGGTTGTACCTGGGACTAGGACCTTCTTAGGACAATGACAATACTGGCAGCAACCAACTTCGTAATTAGCTGTTAATCCATCCCAGACATCTCACACATTCGGCTCGACAAACCTCCTTCTTCTGCCCGTGTCTGGTCCACCGAGCCCGAATCCCTGCTGACAATCGGCCAGTACAGCTGAACACTTCTGGAGCTATCCCAACGGCAAGGTCCAGCGTTGCGACGTCCTCCCCCCGATCGCCCACTTCCATCGGCCCGTCGTCCGTCGCGAAGAATCCCAACCGCCATGGCGCCCCGAATTGAGCCCCAGGAAGTTGAAACTTACTGGAACATCTTCGCGACGCGGTCCGGCGGAAGCAAATACCTGACGGGGGAACAAGCTGCTCCGGTTCTTAAGAACAGCGGCCTCAGCGATATTCAGCTCGAACGGGTTTGGGATCTTGCAGATATCGACAACGATGGGAACCTCGACTTTGAAGAATTCTGCGTAGCCATGCGCATTATCTTTGATATTCTGAATGGCGTAGGGCGAAATCCTCATCTCCGACCCCTTTTGAGTCCTACGCATGAATGGTGACGGGGCTGACGCAGTTGCTGCTAGGAATATGCCGACGTCCCCACGATTATCCCCGATTGGCTCGTCCCCGAGTCAAAAGCCCATCTTATACAGGCCAGCAAAGCTCTCACTGGAAATCAACCTCAGTTTGAGCAGGTGGACGACGACTCGGATACACCGGGCCTCAAAGATGGCTTCGATTGGTACATGAGCCCACAGGACAAGGCCAAATACGAAGCGATATACCTGGAGAACCGCGACATGCGAGGCGAAATATCATGTAAGCGACAGAACACAAACCGTTCCTCTACGGCATGAGCAACGCAGAGCTAACTTGGGGAATTCTTCTTCCTCTCTCCGCAGTTGAATCACTCCAAGATCTCTACGAATCCCTCGATGTCCCGGACACGGACATCCGGTCCGCGTGGAATCTCATCAACCCTTCGGCCGGCTCCACCATCAACAAGGACGCATGCCTTGCCTTTCTCCATATCCTGAACAACCGCCACGAGGGCTACCGAATTCCCCGGACAGTGCCCGCCTCCCTGCGAGCGAGCTTCGAGAGGAACAAGATCGACTATCAGCTCGACAGCAACCGACCGGGCGCCTCGCGCTGGGCGACCAAGGCCGACGATTCGACCGCCACGGGCCGTAAGACCAAGTTCGGGGACCAGTACCTGACCCGTCTGGGCCGCAGCGGGTTCAAGTCGAGCGGCACCGACTTCGGCTCGGCGGCGAAGATAGACGCCGAGTGGGACGAGGTCCGGCTGAAGCGGCAGCTCCAGGAGTTGGAAGAGAAGATCGCGCGGGTGGAGGCCGACGTGGAGCGGAAGAAGGGCGGCAAGCGCGACTCCAGGCCGGCCCTCGTCAAGCGCGAACTTGAGCAGCTGCTCGACTACAAGCGCAAGGAGCTGCGAGAGCTCGAGGAAGGTTCCGGGAAGAGCAAGGTCGGAAGCAGCCTCAAGGGCATCCAGGAGGACCTGCAGACGGTGCGCGAACAGGTCGAAGGTCTCGAGTCTCATCTGAGCTCAAGAAATCAGGTGCTGGAGCAGCTACGGAGAGAGATCGAAGACGAGAGGGCGAGCAGGTGAGGCGCGAGGCGTGAGCGACGGGAATAAGACACCCCGTAAAAGACGAGACGAGAACATGCCCTTTAATACAGTCACTTTTGTATACAGAAACTTTTATTCAGCATGTTTATTGAGGGTGAACGGTGGAATCGTCGCATGTACCCCTTTTTTACCCTGTTTTACGGCTGCATGTAATAAAAGACGATGGGTGGGGTTCGTATTAATGGGCACTCGGTGAACGGGGTAGGTAAATGGAGAGATGCATTTCTGGAAGCACATTTGCCATGCCTGATCGACGAACGCTATACTTGACTTCTTAGCTCTAAGAAGTTTCCCTTGTTTTCTTTCTTTTCTTTCTTTTCTTTCTTTCCTTTCTTCCCTGACAGCCCTTTCCATTACCATTGGGATCCGCTAACAAACTTGGGCAAGGACTCGGTTGCCAAGGTACGTCCCTTTATGAACCAAACGGCCAGTGACGGTGTGCTAACAATGCCCAGTCGACCAACGCCGCGGTTGGGGCCCGTGGTGCAGAGGAGCACATCAAACGGCATGCCCTTGGCGACCTGTTGCCGCTTGCCTTGGAGCGCGAGCTCGACATTCTTCGCAACACCCGCTGCCTACACATACGACTGAGGTCAGCATTACAGCCTCGAGATGGATAGCAAGTTATGAAAAGAAAAAAAGAAAGAAATCGAAAAGAGAATGAAAAAAGAAAAGAAAAAGCAAAGCTTACCTGCTTGTTGGTGATGGGGAACGATGCCTTGGGCACTGAGACGAGGTCACCGCAGGCCCAGACGTTCTCGTAACCGCGGACACGGAGGCACTCGTCCACGACAACATACTTTCTCTCGTTCAACAGCCCCGGATCTATGTAGTCCGAGTTGGGCACCAACCCGACGGTAGAGAGGTACAGGTCCGTCGCGAGAATCTCGCCATCGGATAAGTTGACCTCAGTACGACCGTTCGGTAGCGACGAGACGGTTTCGGCCTTGACGCCCTTTCGGATAACGACGCCGAGGTTGACGAGTTCCCGTTCGGCAGCTGCCGCGAGCGAGTCCCCGCCGAGGACCTGCTGATCGGCCGATACGAGGATGACCTCCTTTTCCTTGCCGTAATGGAAGGCGATCTCGGCGCTGACTTCTACACCCGTGGGGCCGGCACCAACGACGACGATATGGCGTGCCGACTGGACACGTTCGCTCGTTGCACGCAGGGTGGCGAGGGTTTTCTCGTGGTTGCCTGTGTCTTTCCAGGGAACGTCGTTGGAGGGACTGCGGGCGCCGGTGGCAAGGACCAAAAAGTCGTAGGACAAGGTCCTTGGACCGGTTAATGTGTCGACGTCAAGCGTACGAGCATCTGCATCCAGGTTCGAGGCCGTACCCAGGACGAACTCGTTGCTGTCTTTGGGGTACTGCGCCAAGCCAGGTTCGATGGGCTGGAAGAGCTGTTCTTCCTTGAAGTGTCCTGGGATGATACCGCGGACAGAGGCGATGTTCCAGAAGAAGTGACTAGTCTGAGGAGACAGGATTAAAGGCAAGCCCTATTAGTACCGGGGCTGTATTATCCAGGGGAAACTTGCTTCGTGAGACCTGTCCTATGCGGAAGAATTGATTGGGTTCTACGCTGCTGCGCGCATATCCTCGTCAAGCCCCTTATCCCAGGGTCCAGTTCGCGGCTGTATAACGTCTCTCCCAACCTTATCGTAGTCCCATTGCAGCCAAAATCGGCCACCCTTGAGGGGAGGATGTGTGAAGCATGGGAGTTGCGATGCTTTCTCTTACCTTCGAAACAAGAATGACCTTCAGGTCAGGCACTTGCTGTCGCGTATACTTGAGCAACCGATGGGTAACCTGCAGACCCCCATAGGAGCCACCGACAACGACGACTGTCTTGACCATCTCGACCATGTAAGGCCCCTGAAAACCTAGGATCTCCTTATCGACCGAGGTGTCCCAGGCCGCTGAGTACTGTACGTGCGACGCGTGAAGACACGCCGGTTGGGACAAGGTCTGTTCTAGTTAGGAGAAGGCCAATTGAACCAGAGCCAAAACATCTCACAAAACGCTGTGGATCAAGTCACTTCGTATCACCAAGCAGTACGAATTAATTTCCTAAGTACGGTGGGTTTGTAAGTGCAACGGCGTGCTACGGGAGAGCCTCGACTAAGGTAGCTAGTGAACTTATTAATCGAGGGGCTCTGAGTGATAAAAGCTTCCCTTCATACCCACTTGACTTTTCATTCTAGGTACTTTCCCTTTTCCCTCGTCCTCCTTGTTTCGGCGAAGGCTCAGGGTCCTTCGGAGCCGAGGAACGTCCTGTGGCTGGCGAATCATCATCGTTCTTCTTTCCAGAGAAACGGAGGAGGGGCCCCTCATTCACGTGCTTCTTTGTTTGGCTTGTCTCGTCATGTTTCCCCTACTTCGCAATTACGTCCCTGTGGTTCTTGGAAACCTATCATATTTACTATTTCCCGTAAGAGCGTAGCGCGGTTCCGGTCGACGAAGAATAAAAGCCCCGGTGTTGTTTAGAGAACAACTGCCGTGAACACAAAATGGGTTGTACCTCACCTCCGTAGGTGTAAGTCTATGTAAGGTCATGTGACCGTATGACAGTACCTTAGGGACGTACTCATACTTGTTGTACGTGTACGGGGCGGTGCACCTCAGTGGACCACCTGACGTTGTCATCATATCATTCATGTGCCCCTCGCCCTCTTCGGTCCCATGTGCTCGACCCCGCCATCGTCTCCGCGCCGTCACTTCCAACCCCCTTCTCGGCTCCCCGTTCCGCTCTCAACAAAAAAAAAAAAGTGCCTGTCCTTATTATTCTCCCCAAAACAACCCCCCTCTCCATCCGTACTATATACTTTTTTGTCTTCGTTCAACCTATTTTCCTTCCATCTGATTGTCTATACCCACCCACCAAACCCATCTATCACAATGTCTGCCCCCCAGAGCGATGCCTTTAAGCAGGCTGTCATCGACAGCAAGAAGCTCACTGCCAAGCCGAGCAACGATGAGCTCCTCGAGCTCTATGGTATGATCCAACATCTCGATCTCGTCCCTTCCTGTCTCTTTGATTACCACCGCACGGGTTTTTATCACCAATGCTGTCCGGCTCCGTGTCGTTGCTTCGCACGTTGTCGCCTTTTCCCTTCTGCTCACACTCCCTCACTGGCTTGTGGTTGCCACTTCGCGCTGACGTCTTCCCTCTATTTTCCGGATGTAGCTCTCTACAAGGTCTCCACCGGCGAGGACATCACCCAGGCTCCCTCCCCCGGCATGTTCGATCTGAAGGTATGCTCGAACCTCTCAAACTGCAAGCGGGCTTGCGGGCTTTTTTTTCTTTCTCTTTTCTTCTTCCGCTAGTCCTCAAGGGACTGGCATGGAGACGATACATAAGACTGGAGCTAATACGCAACTCTGCGCCGTACAGGGCAAGGCCAAGAAGAACGCGTGGCAGAAGGTCGTCGACGAGGGCACCACCCCCGAGCAGGCCCAGGAGAAGTATGTTGCCCTCGTCAACAGGCTCAAGGAGGCCTACGGCTATGACGCCAACAAGGAGCCGGAGGCTGTTGGTGCGTAAGCTGGCGAGCGAGCATGGGGGATAAAGCTATGGTATTACCGGCAAATCCGCACTGGCAATACCACGTCCGCTTGGATCGGTTGATGCATATATCTATACATTCCAAGTATCTAGAACGGAAGCGTCATGGCTGCTTGCTTTTCCGCAACACCGCCGCCCATCAAGCATATTAAGCGTTTCAGCCAACACCTATGCCGTGCTTTCCCTAGCGCTCTGTTCTTGGATAGGCTACTGTTCAATGTTCCAAGCAAGCCCTTTCCAATCCGGTTCGCTGTAAGATTTCTCTGCGACCCATGGTTCTTCGTCTCTGTTGTAGGGTTGCAATGGTAGGTTGTATGGTATTCGGAGGCCCACAACCGGCTTTCCATTTGTCGGTGGCGTGACATCGTCGGTCGGCATGTCGGTCTTGAATGTGCCAACCATTTTAGCTTGTTCATCACCGGCCAGGAGCGACGGCCAGACAAGTACGCCCACTTCCCAGGAGGCGATTCTCACTTCCCTCGACGCATTAGCTGCCTCGCCCCACGCCTGTTTGGATATGTTGGCGGACGTGAGAAGCGCCCAGTCAATGGTCTCCTCGCCGTACCGGATATACGTCTTGATGTGAGGGGCAGCCCGCTGGCGGCCGGCATCCCGCACAACAGCGTCTTTGGGAAGGCCTGTATCTCCGTTAGATTAGGGATGTTCAGGCTCTTAGTCTTGGCTATGTGAAAGAGACATGCTTACTTTTCCCTCCTAGAGTGTCATTTGCCCAGTGACAGAAAATCGGTCGTAGGTACTCGAGCTGTTTTGCCTGTTGTGCCGACTTGACCTTTGTGTGAATGGACGCCCCGGAGGCATACCCATCGAGACTCCTCCGCACCTCGTCTGCAGTAGGAAAGACAACCCTGAACGTTGGTTTGCGGGCGGTTCTTTGGTTCTTTGAGGATGCTAGGGAATCAAACAAACAATTTTGGAGCCAATGATCTTTGGCTCCCAGAGTAGCAATGGACGATATCTGGACGACCACTTCAGATCTGCCTTCCTGGACTGGGACGTCCTTCAAGACGCGCCCCAGAGCCGGCCAACCCCAAGCCGTCCTCGACGAATCTTGGATGTTGTGTCGGCCTGGTACGCTGGCAATGAGGGCCGCCCGAACACTTGAAAAGTCGTACTTGGCAAGTTCGTCAGTCAGAGGACCCAGACCGACCCTACGAGCGTCGTAAGCATGGAGGTACGCTAGCAAGTCGAGTTTGAATCTCTCGCCCGCCTCCGACGAGTGAGCAGCACCCTCGGCGTCTTTGTCATTCCGAAGACTTTCACGGGGGGCTTGGTCTGGTGATTGTGACAGCTTGGGAAGCAACGGAGATTTCCAGACAGCGTTCGTCATGTTCGTCCAGTCCTTGGGGATCATGTTGGCCGTGTGTATGATGACCTGCGCAGTATCGTCGTGGCGGAAAAGGATCATCATTTTGGAGTGATGAGTACCAAACATCTCGGGCATATTGGCAATGTGCATCCGGACATTCTTATACTGCTTTGCCGCTTCCTGCGATTGATGCCACGAGAATAAGGGGCTGATCTAAGCGAAGGCGAGAAGAGAGTGAGGCCCCGGTCTTTCCCTCCTCGCAACTCACCTCAAGATAGATACGATTGGAATCTTCCCGCTTCCAGAACCCGTGTACGACATGCACTTTGACGAGATGGCGGGTGTCCTCATCAAAGTGGCTCATGAGGAAATCAACGTCATGAAGATAGTTGAACTCCCAACTCTCGGAAATGAGAGGATCGCCGAGTATATCCGTCAATGTGATCGCATCTAGGTTCGACGAGGCAGGTAAGTCGCGAATCGATGTGAGCTGGAAGGGTGATCGAATCTTGGTAGATTCGGTCTGCTTCCTCCTCAGCGGAGGCGGACTGATGGGCCGGTTCAAGGACAACGGAACTGGAGAGCGGCTTGGACCTGGCGTGTCATCAAGACGCTGCCGCTTGGAAGGGGGCTCCATTGGTGTCAGGAGGTTGGTTCCTGTGCCCGTATTTCCTCGAGGATTCTTTTCAGGTGCAATGCGGCGAGCTGAGGAGAGATCCGCCGGATGGTCGTCGTTCACGGGCAAAGGTCTATGGAATCCAGGCCACCCAGGAATTAATTACCTTAGTAGATGGTTGATGGTGAGTACCTTACCTAGCTAGCGGTTCACGGGTGGTATTGGAGAATTGGACTAGCACTTCGTACCAAAGTACGTCGAACAATAAGGTACTGGCCTACCTTACCAAAGGTACCTTAATTTACCATGTCATGTGGTAATTATGTGTAAATGACTTCGCTGCAAACTTGAGTTGGTCATTGCCCTTTTATCCTGGAAAATATGATCTTAGCGACGACCTACAGTACACTATGGGTACTTATCATACATGTTATCGTATAGTATTCAATAAAGTACCTGTACATACACGGCTCCCTGCAGTCCGGACGGAGTCATCCGAAGCACAGACTGGAACGTCAGGCCTTAAGTTCCGTGTCCGTACCCATTAGGATCACCGTGAACGTTGTATGTTGTACGTTGTACCCTCGCCTTCTAGAAGCTTGAACAATAACAGCACCACGACCACCATAATAAGAGACTGAATTCCTCGTACGAAAAGGGCCGTCCTCTAATTATACCTATCTGCATAAGTGCTTATAATCTACGGAGTAGGTAAGTACCTACCTTAGGTAGCTAGGGACGGTCAATCGTGTCCAGGCCAACAGTACGAAATACTTCGTATACCTAGGTACCTATGGAAGGTACTTTGTCGCCGTACAGTCTCCACGTATCCTGAACCAACCGCCTAGACCTTGGCATGCTCTGGAATCCCCACTCCTATCAGGTGCCACGAGCTGACAGAAGGGTCTCTTTCCCGACCTGCATTCAATTCATATTTGGCCCCTTCAACTGGCTTTCGCCTCCCAGTATTGCCGACTTGCCTCCTTTTTTCTTTCTTCCCAGGACGCACATAGTGCACCCATGTGGGCGACTGGCTTTCTTTGTTCATTAAGCTATTCTATTTCTTGTCTATGACGAATCAATAGGAATCGACAATCTCCGGCTTTGCGTCGGCCTGTCGCGCCGCCCCGACCTCTTCTTTCTCCTAAGCCGCCAATTGTCCTCTCGAATCTCTCAACATCCGACTGACTTACCCTGATCTCAACCCCGTCGCTCGTCATGAAGCTTTTTACGCTGCTGTGCCTCGGTACGGTCGCCCTGGCGGCGTCCACCACGCGCAAGAAGAAGTCTAAAACGAAGGGACCAACCGTCTTCAACGGCATCGAAGTTCCACCTATGCTCGAGATTACTCCGGATAACTTTGAGTCCGTGTCCAACGAAACCCAGTTTATGCTCGTCAAGCATTTCAGGTAGGTATCTAGCTTTCCCCGAGCACCAGTGGCGTGCCTTCTGTGTTGCTTCTTGCTCACTCGGTCTGTAGTCCGTATTGCCCGCACTGCCTCGACTTTGCTCCCATCTACCAGACTCTGTACGAATACTACTACACGTCGAAGCCCCTCACCGAAGAATCGGGTAACTTCACCGAGTTCTACGACATCCGCTTCGCCACGATGAACTGCATTGCTTTCTACGATCTGTGCTCGAGCCTGAAAGTCTCGTCCTATCCGAGCACCGTGCTGTACAAGGGCGGAGAGCCCGTTGAAACCGTCAAGGGAGTCAAGGGCCTGGATATTCTGACCAAAGCGATCGAGCCGTACCTGGAGGCAGCGAAGCCGGGTAGCCGCCCGAAGACGCTCAACCTTCCCGAACCTGGCGATGACGAGACTCCCCCGCCCAGACCTGTCGAAAACTTTAATCCCGGGGGCGTCTCGATTGCCTTGAACGCGACCAGCTTCGAAACGTTGGTAGCGACGACACAGAAGCCTTGGTTCATCAAGTTCTACGCTCCCTGGTGCCATCACTGTCAGGCGATGCGCCCTAACTGGGAGCAAATGGCCAAAGAGATGAAGGGGAAACTGAACATTGGCGAGGTCAACTGCGATGCGGAACCCAAGCTCTGTCGCGAAGTCGGCGTCGCCGCCTATCCGAGCCTCCTGTTCTTCAAAGGTCCTCAGCGCGTCGAGTACGAGGGTCTGCGCGGCCTTGGCGACTTTGTCGAATTCGCCGAGACGGCGGCTGAGGCCGCACGCGAGGTGCCGAATGTGACCGCGAAGTCTTTGCAAAAGCTCGAGGGCGAGGAGGATGTCATATTCATATACTTCTACGACGACGCCACCACCAGCGAGGACTTTATGGCCTTGGAGCGGTTTCCTCTGAGCGTTGTGGGCCGGGCCCGGGTTGTCAAGACCAAGGACCCCGAGCTCGCCAAGCGGTACAAGATTACGACGTTCCCGAGGCTCCTGGTGTCGCGTGAAAAGCGCCCGACCTACTACAACCCCATCACGCCGGAGGAGATGCGGGACGTGGATCGCATTTTGAGCTGGATGAAGTCCGTGTGGCTTCCCATCGTGCCGGAACTAGTCGCCTCCAACGCACGGGAGATTATGGACGGCAAGATTGTCGTACTGGGCATTCTTAACCGCGAGGACCCGAGGACGTTTCAGTATTCCATGAGAGAGATGAAGAAGGCCGCGAACGAGTGGATGGATGAACAGATCGTCCTCTTTCAAGAGGAGAGGCAGGCCCTTCGAGACGCGAAGCAGAACCGCATCGAGGAGGCCGAGGCCCGGGACGACCAACGTGCTGTGCGGCAGGCTAAGGCGATTCGCATCAACATGGACAAGTCGCAAAGGAAAGAGGTCGCCTTTGCCTGGGTGGACGGCGTTTTCTGGCAGCGGTGGCTTCGTACCACGTATGGGATTGAGGCGACAGAAGGAAATCGGGTCATTATCAACGACGAAGATGTGAGTCGACAGGTTTTTTTTTTTCTTTTTTTTTTCTTTTTTCTTTTTTACCCCCGAGTTGGTGAAGTATACTGACAAGAATGCCGCAGCGACGCCGGTACTGGGACACGACTCTCGCTGGCGGCAAGATTCTGGTCTCCAGGGCGGCTATCCTCGACGCCCTTTCCAAGGTGGTCACGTCGCCGCCAGAGATCAAGCCCAAGTTCACCATCGCGTCCTTCGAGAAGCTGTTCTTCGACATCCGCATGTCATTCGTCGATCGTCCCTACTTCTCCACGGGTGTGGTGGTATTGTTCGTGCTCGCTGTCGCATCCTGGTTCCGTCGCCGCATGCGCAGAGCGCGTGGCAATCACCTTGCCCGTGCTGAAGATGGCTGGAGCACGAAAGAGCTCCTGAAAGAGGGTTTTAGCGGGGGTGGCATGAACGGCAACGGCAAGGTGGACTGAAAAGCGGCCCAGCGAAGCAGATTAAGCGAGGGGGAAATGCTGCAAGACGAGAAGCGAAATGGGGAGTTTTGGTCGATAGGTTTTGATGCATGCACAATACAGTAGCGAGAATTGGTTGTTGAGTCCGCTGGCGTTCCAATCAATCAGAAATGACGACTACTACATGATGGAGGGGTGTTGCGGTTTTCCACGTTTCCCATATGCATCTGGGGTTGGAGTTTTATGGAGTACGTTGTAGAGGATGTTTGTTTGTTAGGTGAATGGGCAATTTGCTCGGTCATTTTTGCAGCTGTTTGTCACAAACTGGGGGGCTCTGCATGTTGTAGACAAGCGGTTCCTTGCTAGGTTTACTTCCGAGAGTTCTTCCAATGTATTAGCTTATGCCTTGAATTTGAGTAAGTTGCGGTTGAAGTCCTTTCTTTTCAATGAGGCAGCCCGTGGAACAGCAACGGTGAGATCCATCCTCGAGTCTGGCGCAAGTCTGGCGCATCAAGTCCCAGAGGGAGAGCCCGCCTGGATGGAACTTGGTGGGGGTACCGGAAAACGGCAGGGCCCGATGACCCCCCGATATGCGGAGATTGGCCAATGGAGTGGGGAAGGATAAGGCGATAACTCGCCTAATTGGATAGGGGAATAAGGATGGATCCCGAATTCAGCCTTAAACAAGGTACGAGCGCAACTTGCCCCAAACTTGTTCCATCCGCTTGCTTCATGACGCGCAGCCTGGACAAGTGCTCAACCATCATTATTTGACTTGTCTCTTTCTCTCTCTCTGTCGCTGCGCCTGTGATTGGTATTGTGAAGCATTGAGACATTCGCTCTGTTGCAGACAGTCGTTGAATTACTTACACTGGTTCTGAAGGTATCGTAAACCATTTTCTTGTTATCATTCTCGCTTTTCCCAACCTTTTTTGCCTGTTGCTTCCTCCTCGCCGGAGACATTCAGCGGCGGAAAAATCACAATTTATCGCGAGGAATCCTCTTATCTTTTGCTGATTGAATATTGCGCATAGCCGCAGTGGTTTGTAGTTGCAGCGTACTTGCAGCGTCAGAGGCTCAAGTCCACTCCTTTCTCGTCACCATCGCCGTCTTACATCCTCCCTTCTTCGATACCGATACCCCGGTCGTCGCCTGCCATAGCGTTTCTATATCGTCGATCCCAAGATTCCACATATATCAAGACACACGGCGCTTCCATCCTCGCGCCGACCAAAACATCCGGCGTCCTGAAACCCCGCCCTCAACAACTGCGCTGTGCCAACAACCCTCGCACGACAGCGCTGCCCATCACATCCGTACGTACCGCACTCACAATCTCGCTTTACCCTCTCCAGACGGCACAGGCGCAACTCTGCAGTTGACATTCGTTCGAAAATGGCATCACCTTCTGGCACGACGTATCTGTTCTCTCCGACAGAGCACACGCACTTGATCCCCTACCTCGCGGCTCTCCACGCGCAATGCATCACGCACGACCGGTCCATGCTCACCTTCCTCCCGCCGCTGTCGCACGACAAGCTTCTCGCCTGGTGGAAGGAGAGGATAGCCGAAGTATCGGCGGGGACGCGGCTCATTGTGATCCTGTTGGACGAGTCGGAGCCCGGAACGAAGCCGAAAGGCCGGGAGCTCATGGGCGTCGTTATGCTCGTCATGCCCATGTCCGAGACGGGACCGATGCGCGGCTTCATGGAGAAGCTTCTTGTCCACACCAAGTTCCGCAGGCGCGGTGCCGCCCGGGAGTTGTTGCAGCGGCTCGAGGGCGAGGCCGTTAGGCGGGGCAGGACGTTGCTGGTACGTGCCCTTCCCCCTTTTCCTTAAACGGCTCCTTCTAAAATCAGGTCTCTTTGTCGCATTGCTGACGTGTGGTGAGCGAGTGCAGATGACGGATGCAGAGACGGGGAGCCCTGCGGAGGAGATCTACAAGAAGTTCGGGTTCGTCGAGATCGGCAAGATCCCGCAATATGGCATCAGCCCGAACAATCCCTCGGGAGAGCTTCGAGATGAGACCTTCTTCTACAAGCGGCTTGGCATTTGACCTTTTTGGTCTACGCTGGCGCTTCTGGCGCTCTGTTTGGGAAGCTTTGGTTCTTTGACATTTGGCCTGGGGATTATTGCTCGCGAGGGAGTTGAGGCGTCATTTCTAGATGGTCTTTCTTCGGATTAGCGGAGGCGACTCGACTTCTCCGTTGGGTCCATGTTGCGCGGTTCATCCTTGACGACTTAAACAGTGTGGCGCATATCTGGCGACCTCCACGAGAAGGGACAGTCCTTATACCCCCAAGGAGTACTAGCGTTGGAGGGGTAATTCAGTCTGTACACCGTAATCACGTTGGTCTGCAGCTCGGCTTGTGATAAGTGGTTGCAGATCTGCGGGCGCCTCTTTTCAACTGCATTCCTTTGCATGCTTTTACTCTGATGATTTGCTCTTGTGGAGGTAAGAAGTTGACGTGACACGCGTGATGCCATTCCTCCCCTATTGGCAACGGCCTGTGTTGGTGAAAAGACGCCATTCCTTCGCGATATTGCAACACAAAGCGAGATCGCCAATGAAAATGCAAAGCCTGCCGCGCTATAATGTTGCGGGTTCACTCTTCTGCAGATGAGACGAAGCCGAAACCCCGCCAGAGCTCTCCTACCGCGCGTTATAAGGTTAGCGGTGCGGGATGTTTCCTACTTTGGGCTCAGCTGGAACAGCGAAGGATGAAGGATTCCCAACTCGACCAGTTGGGACTCTTTTGACATGCCGAATGTGGAAAATGGGAAGTTGCTGCTCATGACCAAGTGCCTTGGATGGGGAGGGAGCTGCAGCAGGTCCTCAAACCCCGCCACCCCCTTCTTTTCCAAAGGCGAAACGGTGCCTAGGCGGTATCTTGGGCAGTGATGCGAACGACTCGCAGTCTTTAAAAGGGAGACGAAGGCCTCGGACGGGGGTTAAATAAATCCGTGCTTTGTCCGAGTCAGGTTCTCTCGTGCGGCCTTTTCCCTTTTCCCTTTGACCGCTGAACGTGACTTGGACTATTTCCCTTGACGAACGAGGTTTCAACTTGTTCAAGTTTTTTTGAAGCGAGTTTCCCGTTTCCCTTTCTTACATCATGTCTGCTATTCAGAACAATGTCGAGTCGGCTTCGGCGGCCTACTCTGCGGAATTCACCAAGGGCCACCTGGCCTTGCCTCCGGCGAAGAAATACCTCGTCGTGACCTGTATGGACGCGCGGATTGACCCGGCTCAAGCATTCGGCATCGAGCTGGGTGAGGCGCATGTGATCCGAAATGTAAGCTGGCAGACGAGGACGAGATTTCCCTCATTGTCCACCGTTATACATGAACGACGTTGTTCGGCGACAGAGAGGCTGACCATTTCGACTAATACATCCATAGGCTGGCGCATCCGCCCTCGACGCCCTCCGTAGCATCGTCATCTCCGAACAGCTGCTGGGCACAACCGAGATCGTCCTGGTCAAGCATACCGGGTGTGGTATGTTGACGTTTGCCAACGACGCCGCGTACGACATTGTCGATAAGAATCTGGGGTGAGTAACTGAGACCGATTCGATTTTCCTACCCCCGGGCCCCGTTCTTCTTCTTGTTCTTCTTTCTTCTTCTTCTCCTCCTTTCCCCGCGCTGGCCAGATGTGAAATGTGGTTTGCTGATATGAAGCCATCACTACCTTTGTATATAGTGCCGAGGCATTGGGCGAACTTAAGGATCGCAAACTCGACTTCCTGGCGTTCCCGGATTTGGAACAGGCCGTCAAGGATGACATTGAATTTCTGAAGGGGACCAGACTCGTACCGGAAACTGTTACACTTAGCGGATGGATCTACGAGGTCGAGACGGGAAAGACGAGGCGCGTGGTCTAAGGTAGATATTTACGAAGCGGCATCCAGGATGACTGGCGCGGTGAAGGACGGCATGAAATGGGGAGGGGGGCGTTAGTATGGCGGGCGGGTGGGTGCTGCGGGGAGGTGGAACAAGTGGGCCTGATTAGTTAATCATCCAGACGCGTGAATGTAACGTAAGGTACCTTAGTGTACAGCCAACCGTTTGTGAGCGTTGCCTGAGGCATAAAACGTCTAGGCTCCACCAATCCGCATTCGCGTGTCACGTTCGTGTTTTGGCCGCAGATCCGACACTGAGTGTTTACATCTCGGCAGGTCAACAATTGAAAATCTGTTGCTGGGTAGCATATCAAAACACATCCCACCATCCAACCTACCAACCATCCCAACAATCCCACCATCCCACCATCCCACCATCTCACCCCTCCGTTCCCTTCATCACAGCCGCGTATGTAAATCAAAACACCGTCGACCTGGCATCCTCCCTCTCTTTATTCTTTCTTAAACGGCTTTTGACGCCTGCTGTTCAGAGAGCGCGCCCAGTGTCCCCTATTGCTGTTGATTTTCGTCCTTGTCAACGTTTCGCCTTCGGTTCTTTCATCAACCCCCAACGCCACGACGTATCGCGGCCGAGCCTGGGATTACCGACCAGAATGGATTTCTCCGATGATGATTCTGTTTTCAATTTGGATGAATCAGATGGCTATTCACCCGTAGCGGTAAGTGTGTTTGTCTTCATTCTTCCATTCCCCCCCCACCTCTTGCGCTCTTTTCCTTTGAGGTTCGATACTTCGTTGCCTGCCACAATGGGAGGGCTGCTTTTTGGTTTCTTTGTCCCGCACCTCCTCGATTTGACGCACCTGTCTTTTTTTTTTCTTTTTTTCTTGAAAGGGCTACCACACGCAGACTTTATCACCTAGACCCGTAACCCTTTCCCAATCCTTCATCCTCCCGACTTCTTCTGAGCCTCCCCTCGCCTCGCTCCCCCCCCGCATCATACCTATCCAACCCTGCAGTCCAATCTATCCCACGATGGAACCTGGGTCTGGTACAGTGGGGCCGTCTCGTACTGACAATGCGCAGAAGCCAAAGGCCAAGCCTGCCGTCAAGAAATCGGCCCCGAAGAAGTTGACCCAGACCACCCTCAAGACCGCCTCGGCGCCAAAGAAGCGCGCAAAACCCGAGAGCGACGACGACGACGACGACGACGTGTCCGGCTTCTCCAACACTCCACCTAACTCCAAGAAGCAGAAGAAGGCGCCCGTCCCCAAGAAGTCGGCAGGGAAACCCCTCGGCGAGATTGAGAATGACAGCATGGCACTAGACGACGAGTCTATGGCCCCGGCCCCGGCGGCCAAGGGCACATCCAAGGCCAAAACAATTGAAGAAACGTATCAGAAGCTCACACAGTTGGAGCACATCCTCAAGCGTCCTGACACCTACATTGGCTCCGTCGAACCCACCGACCAGCAGATGTGGGTGTTCAACAAAGAGACCAAGCTTATGGAATATCGCAAGGTCACCGTCGTCCCGGGTCTCTACAAGATCTTTGACGAAATCCTTGTCAACGCTGCCGACAGTAAACAGCGCCGCGAGGAAAATAGCGAGGAGCCTATGACCTTCATGAAGGTCAACATCGACCGCGCTTCGGGCGAGATCAGCGTAGAAAACAACGGCAAGGGTATTCCCATTCAGATTCACCGCGAGCACGGCGTCTACGTTCCCGAGATGATCTTCGGTCAGCTCTTGACCGGCGAGAACTACAACGATGACCAGAAGAAGACGGTCGGCGGTCGTAACGGTTTCGGTGCCAAGCTGTGCAACATCTTCAGCACCGAGTTCACCGTCGAGTGCCAGGAGTCGGCTTCGGGCAAGAGGTACAAACAGACCTGGTCCGACAACATGAGCAAGAAGTCGAAGCCCAAGGTCACCACCAGCAAGACCAACGACTTCGTCCGCATCACTTTCAAGCCCGACTTCGACAAGTTCGGCATGACCGGGATCGACGACGACCTCGAATCCCTTCTGTACCGCCGCGTCTACGACATGGCCGGCACCATCAAGAACATCAAAGTCTACCTCAACGGGACCGTCGTGAAACCGTCTTCTTTCAAGGGCTACAGCGAGATGTACGCCAAGGCCATCGCGAAAGAACGCGCTGCCGAGGAGGGCGTTGAGCCCAAGGTGACTGTGGAGATGGAGAAGACCGACAACCGGAGGTGGGAGGTGGGATTCACCGTCTCCGACGGCTCTTTCCAGCATGTCTCGTTCGTCAACAACATCGCCACCACCTCTGGTGGGACTCACGTCAATTACATCGCCGACCAGATCGTCAGCTACCTGCTCAAGCACCTAGACAAGAAGAAGAAGGGCCACTCCCTCAAGCCGAACCACATCCGAAACCACATCTTCGTCTTCATCAACTGTCGGATCGAGAACCCGGCCTTCAACTCCCAGACGAAGGAGCAGATGACCACCAAGATCAGCGCATTTGGCAGCAAATGCAGCCTGAGCGACGCCTTCCTGAAGAAGGTCGTCGCCTCGGAGGCCATCCAGAACATCATGGAGTTTGCCGAGAAGAAGGCGGACAAGATGCTGGCCAAGAGTGACGGAGGCAGGCGGTCCCGCATCAACAACGCCAAGCTTGTCGACGCCAACTTGGCGGGTACCAAGCGCGGCCACGAGTGCACCCTGATCTTGACCGAGGGTGACTCGGCCAAGAGCTTGGCCGTCGCCGGCCGTGCCATCCTCGACCCGGATCGCATCGGCGTCTTTCCGCTCCGCGGTAAGATGCTCAACGTGCGCGATGCCTCCATCGACCAGGTCACCAAAAACCAGGAGGTCCAGAACATCAAACAGTTCCTGGGCCTGAAGCACAAACAGGTCTACACCGACACCAAGAGCTTGCGGTACGGCCACTTGATGATCATGACTGATCAGGATCACGATGGTAGCCATATCAAAGGTCTCCTCATCAATTTCCTTCAGGTCCAGTTCCCCTCGCTTTTGCAGATCCCCGACTTCCTCCAGGAGTTCATCACCCCCATCGTCAAGATCTGGCAGGGCAAGAATCCCAAGCAGCCGACCAAACAGAAGTCCTTCTTCACCCAGCCCGAGTACGAGGCCTGGAAGGAGGCCCACCAGGCGGAGGTTTCCCGCTGGGAATACAAGTACTACAAGGGTCTGGGCACCAGCTCGAACGAAGATGCCCAGGTCTACTTTAACCAGCTCGACGACCATCTCAAGGAGTTCGATGTCATGAGGCCTGAGGAGGCCGAGCTCTTCGAACTAGCCTTCTCCAAGAAGAAGGCGGACGCGCGTAAGGAGTGGCTCGGAAACTTTGTGCCCGGAACCTATCTTGACCATTCCACCAAGTCGATCACGTACAACGACTTTGTGAATAGGGAACTCATTCTCTTCAGCATGGCCGACAACATGCGGTCCATTCCGTCTGTGCTCGACGGCATGAAGCCCGGCCAGCGAAAGGTCATGTATGCCTGCTTCAAGAGGAATCTCGTCAAAGACCAGAAGGTGGCCGAGCTGTCTGGTTACGTCTCTGAGCAGACGTCGTACCACCACGGCGAAGTATCTCTGCAACAGACCATCATCGGTCTTGCGCAGAATTTCGTCGGCTCTAATAACGTCAACTGCCTGGAGCCCAGTGGAAACTTCGGTTCTCGACTTGCCGGTGGCTCGGACGCCGCCAGTCCTCGTTACATTCATACGCGCCTGTCTCCCTTTGCGAGAAAGATTTTTCCCGTCTTGGACGAGCCCAACCTCGATCATCAGGAAGAGGACGGGAAGAGGATTGAGCCGAAGGTGTACGCTCCCGTTATCCCCATGGTCCTGTGCAATGGCGCAGACGGCATCGGTACCGGGTGGAGCACGTCGATCCCCAACTACCACCCCATGGACATCGTCAAGAACCTGAAGAGGCGTATGGGCCGCCTGGACCCCGACGACCCGGAGGAGAAGCCTTTCGAAAGCATGACACCCTGGTTCCGCGGATGGAAGGGCACTCCCGAGATTGCCGAGAAGGACAGGTACAAATTTAACGGCATGTACGAGATCGACGAGAAGACGGGCGAGATTATCATCACCGAACTGCCCATTCGCATGTGGACGGACGACTTCAAGGCCAAGCTGGAAGATGTCATCAGCGGTGCCAAGGGTCCGGCATGGATCAAGGACTACAAGGAGTTCAACGACCACAAGAATGTTCGCTTTGAGATTCAGCTGGATGACAAGTACATGAAGGATGTCAAAGCCGACGGTATTATGGAGAGGTTCAAGCTGAACAAGCAGGTCGCCACCTCCAACCTGGTTGCGTTCGACACCCACGGCCGCATCCGCAAATACGAGAAGGTCGAGGACATCCTCGAGGAGTACTACGTTTACCGGATGGCGATGTACACCAAGAGGAAGCAACACTGGCTGCAGGTCTACCATGCCGACTACCGCAAACTCAAGAACCAGGCCCGCTTCATCAAGGAGGTCAATGATGGCGTTCTGGTCATTGCGAGGAAGCGGAAGGCGATCCTCGTCCAGGAGCTTCGCGAGCGTAAATACGAGGCCTTCCCGCGCGTTGCCGGTAAGAAGAAGAGCACCGACGACGAGATGGATAACTCCGCGGACGAAGAGGAAGAGGATGGCCTGGCAGGCAGCGCGTCCGACTACGATTATCTTCTCTCGGTATGTTGGCTCCTCCTGTGCAACAAGGGTGTCCTGTCCCTTCTTACTAACCTGTTTGCACAGATGCCCATCTGGGCCTTGACCCTAGAGCGACTCGAGAGGTTGCACAAGATGATTGAGAAGAAGAAGGCGGAGCATGATGAACTCCTGGCACTGAGCGAGAAGGACCTCTGGGCCCACGACCTGGATGAGTTCATTGCTGAGTGGGAGAACCAACTTGCCCAAGATAGCCAAATCCAGAGCAAGATCCGAAGAATGGGCCGCCGCGCGAGCAAGAAGATTGGTGCCGGAAAAGGCAGTAGCCGAGCCAAGGGCGATGGCGACTACCAGCCCGAACGAAAGAGAGCCGCACCCAAGGCGAAGCCCAAGGCGCCCGAAAAGACGCAACAGAGATTCGCCGAGATGTTCAGCGCGAAACCCAAGATCGAGCCGAGCCCTGACTCGGCAGCCTTCTCGGATGACGACTTTGCCGCCTTGAGCAAGAAGGGTAGTGCTACGAATGCTACCACAACAGCCAAGGGCAAGGCGAAAGCCGAAGAGAAAGCTCCGAAGAAGCCGGAAACCAAGACGGTGAAATCGGACGATGACTTCAGCGACGATGACTTTGCTATTCTTGCCAAGAGCACTGTAGCGAAGCCCTCTACCGCAGCAGCCGGGTCCTCGGCCACCGGACGTAGGCAACGAGCGGCGGCTACCAAGAAGCGGTCGTACATCGTTGAGGAGTCGGAGTCGGGGTCGGGGTCGGAGTCGGAAGACAATAGCCTGCTCGGGGACGTCGGCGATATGGTCAAGGGGATCAAGGGATCCAGCGGGGATGCCAAGGACGCTCAGAACGGCAGCAGGCTGAGCCTGTTTGCCATGAACAGGCCCGAATCCAGCCACGGTGGCCGGGAGTCCTCTCTGCCCAAGTTGAAGAGCAAGGCCTCCAAGAACGCGCTCGACGATGACAGCGTCGATGACACGAACTACGAGATGCTGGCGCGGTCCTCCCCGCAAAAGTCCCCGAATAAGGGCGACGACGACGTCGATGCTTTCCTGAGCGATGACGAAGCGCCGTTCCCCAAGCCTTCTGCCGCCGCCGCTACCGCCAAGACGTCGTCCCGTCAAGCTTCCGGTTCAGCAGCAGCAGCAACAGCAGCGGCGGCGCCTTCCACCTCCGGACCTGCGATCAAGAAGCCTCGAGGCCGTCCCGCCGGCTCGAAGAACAACCCAAGGGAAGATTCCGCTGCCGCTGCGGCTTCTGCTCCCAAGGCCAAGGCCAAGGCGGCGAAGCCCGTGTCGAAGCCTGTGGTGGCCAAGAAGCCATTGGCGCTGTCTCCTGCCGCCAAAGCGTACGCGGCGAAGAAGGCGTCCAAGAAGGTCTTCAGCGACGACGACGACGATGATGACGACGACTTGATGAACATGGATGAGCCTTCGTCCCCGCCGCCCCGGCCCGCGGGCCGATCGCGTCCCGGCCGTGCTGCCGCGGCCAAGGCGAAGCCCATCATCATCGATGATGACGATAATAGCTCCGTGGCCATCGGACACCAGAGCGATGAGTTTGAGTTCAGCGATGATTGAAGAATTGCGGCGCTACCTCTCTCTTTTTTTCTTTTTTTTTTTTCTTGCTCTTTTCTTTTTTTCTTCAGCTTTCCTCGACGATGGCTGTGCTTGCTTGTCGTCTTACTTGGGGACCATACCGTGTACATAAGGGGTGAAGGTAGCAAAAGGAATGGTCAGAAGTGTTTGGCCGAGAGGATGACGATAACATGATATCTTGCGAAGGGAGGTAGTGGTCCCCTCGATGTCGGTCGGACTGTCTGGCAATGCCTTCAGCCTCGTATATCTTTGTTTTCTTCTGGAGTCCAGTTAGGTTCGACTTGATAAACCCGGTAGTGCTTCTTTTTTCTTTCATCTTTTCATGGCTCACAAGCATGGCTTTTATTTCTTGCGGGATTCGGAAGAGACCTTTCCTCGTTATCCGTTTCTCTCTTTTTTTCTCGAGGTGTATATTAGGGAAATGAACACATTATGTTGCTGGCATTAAAGTCGGCTTAGTGTGACGTCCTAAGGACTTTGCCTTCTTCATGTCCAACTGGATGTTTGGAATGGCAAAGGGTGTAGATGCAGTGTAAAAGGGTCATTATTACTCCCGGAGCTGAGAATCACAATACAGGAGGCGTTTTACTCTATGCCTGCGTATTTTTCTTCAAGCGGCAATGACGGACAAGATACTAATGCACACATACTCTGTCAAGACAGGAGAACAGGCAAACTGATTGAAAAGTCATAGGTGATGAAGAGACTACAAAGTAGGATTCCCCTCCCTTCCATCCTTCCGATCCTCCTCGGCAATCTGAGGCCAGTCTTTTACCGATTTTCGCCAGCGTGAAAAAGACAAAACGATTAAAAAGAGGGCAACATGATTACCGAAAAGAAAAAAAAAAGGATAGTCCGTCCATAACCATATTCTTACATCGTTTAGCGGTAGGATGGTCCAGAAAAATGAAAACATGCCCAACGCCATAGTGCCGCGTCCATCTCTAGGCATTTGCGTCGGAGCCCTCTCTTCCCTCGATTGCATGGCGCAGAATTCATCGTCCCTACTCCTGGTACGGAACCTAAATCCTTCGCCAAGCAAGGAAAAAGAAGATCAAAACACAAGCCACGCCGCCAGTGCCCATGGTCCACGTTAAATCTCCCACGTACATGTGTCCGTTAAGCAGCCGTTACGAAGCGAATCGAGACTCGCCACCGAGCCCGTCGTGCTTCATTTGTTGTGAATTCGTTGCCGTCGCTATATTAATGGGGTAGAAGGAAAAGTCGGCCGGGACTCCTGAGGAGCAAAGCATGCTGCGCTGCGAATATGCGGCATTACTGAGACAGCATGGGTTGCTTAAGCAAGGAGGGGCTCCTTCTCCGTGGCACCGGGCTCAGTAAACACAGTGGTTTCGAGCTTGGCCTCGTTCACCTTCGGCTCTTCGGTGGGAGGGGCGGGAAAGTCGACCTCCTCAACGTCGGCGGTAGACTGAGCAGGGGCAGGCTTAGGGACGGCCTCGGGAGAGGCGGAGCGGCGACCGAGAAGCTCCTGAGCCTTGGCGCTGTAGTCACCCATATATTGCTTGGTCAGGTCGGTGGCGTGGGCGGTCTGCTGGCTGGCAATAGAGCGGAATTGCTGGGTCTGCTCGCTGATTACGTGGCTGGCATTCTTCAGCTGATTGTCGATGAGCTCCTGGTTGGAGGTATAGACAAGGGGCACCAGAAACAGGGCGGTGACAGCAGTGAGAGCGAGACCCCAAAGAGGCATGATCTTGACGAGATGGTACGAGAGGAAAGCGCCCACGCATGCCTGTGACCATCACCGATTAGCATTTTGCTGCACAGAAGCTGTGCCATGTTCGTGATAGTTGCGGGGCTCGCGGGGGGAAACAAGAAACCAAGGAAACCAGAAAGAAAGAAAAGGACGGTGGGAACGGGGACAGGAACCGTACAGCAGCCGAAGCGCCGACGTTCTCGGCGAAAAGAATACGCTGGGCTTCAATAACGAAGAAGTTGACCAGCTCATGAACGTCTCCTATGGCGGCATCGAGCGTCTCCTTCGACAGAGTATAGTAGCTACGAGGGCGAAGCTGGCTAGTCAGACCGTTGTTCAAAAGGACCTTGCCCGTCAGCTCGGCGGCGACGGTGGTGGCAAGGGCCATCCAGGTCAGCTTGAAGCCATATCGGAGGAGGTCAAGATATCGGGCGGCAACGATGGCGGAGACGATGGATACATATGCGATAGCGGAGGCGCCTATTCATCCAAAAATTAGCTGGTTGTCGGCCTGGGTTGTTTGTGTTCTTTTATCTTCTCCTTTTTCTGAAGTAGCACAGAAAGAAAATGCATGACGTACGAGGGTTCTTCCAAGAGAGGAGTTCAGAGAAGAACGAGTGGTAATGGGTCAGAGGCTGGCCAGTGGCGGCACGGTATTCGGGTGTCTTGCGAGAGGCCACGAGATTGTTGATCTCGTTCGAGGCCTTCGCCGACTCATCTTGGAAGTTCTGAGCCATGGGGCCTGCAAAAGGTGCCAGAAAGCTCTTGGTTAGTCCAGCTCAAGCTTGATGTGGTCGAATGAGAAACTCGAGTACACGACACGGGAACACACGATGCAGCAAAGTGTGCAGGTGGTAGGAGGGGCATAAAACACATACCGTTAGAAAGGCTGTCGTAGGTGGCGGCAGCTTCTAGAATTTGGGTGGTTAGTTAATTATGTCGAAGATTTTTCTTTTCTCGATCTCTGTTTCCTTCTCTGTGGGGTTGGAAAAAAGAAAGAAAAAGTACGTGGGAAGGTTCTGAAGTTATCAGGTTAGCCAAAATTTGGGGTCCCAGGAAAGCGAGAGAAAAAAAGGAGATGAGGGAAAGAAAATACGAGAAACGGTGAAAGGAGGTGAGCTGGGGTGGGCCAGCTAGTGATGCAATTATATGCAACTCGATAAGGACCAAGGGGGGAATGGGGAGGAAACAGAACTTGCGCTCGGTACGGAGTGTCGCCCTTATTATTCTGCACATACCTTACTGTCTTTGGTAGCTTGGGCGTAGGAACCGTTGCCAGCAGGGGCTGTATTCGGGGCGTCAGGGAAATCGGACATTGCAAATCAGATGACGACGGCTCTCGTGGGTGCAAACGAAAAAAAAATGCTGCTGGTGGTGTCGTGTGATACCGGAAGGTGGGAGGTGATATTGATTCCCCGTGAGCAGACGCACTCCGGTCAGTTCGGGGTTTCTGTATTTGGACTGGGAGATGAAAAGAAGGAAACCCGGTGTGAAATGGGAAGTAAACGAGCTTTAAGTGCGTTGTGGCAGTCGGAGTTGAGGATTTGACGAAGAGAGGAGGAGAAAAGAAAATTCTCAGAGTCGTTAATACAAAGTGGTTTGAGTTATGAGGGGAAAGAGGGAGACGAAAAAATGGGGGGAGACACGAGAAACAAGAGGGCGAGGGCGAGCTGTTTCTCCTTTTAGTTACGATTGTGTCGCGGTGGTGACGATGATGCAACTCACACTCACGGTACACTACGTACCTAGGTAGGAGCTGCCCACTTTTATCCTTCCCTAAGGTATGTACGTACTTTACGTACCGTATGTTACGTCGGTAGTGGAGTGCTTTCTGTGCTGCACTGCCGTGGGAGCCTAGCCCAGGGCTTTTTCCAAACGTGCTTTCCGCTAAAGGGACGAGTATGTACAACGTACCAATCCAGGTGAAACAAGTTGGAACTTGGGAGTTCTTTTCCCCCAGTCAGAGCCAGCTCTCGAAAAGCTGTACTTTCGAGGCTACTTTCTCAGCTATCAATAACTACGTCGATAGCATACAGGATATTTTGGAACTTTCCTCACTGTATTCGTAGTGCATGTGCATCACAGGTACCTCCATCTAGAGGCAGCTGGGACGAAACCATGACGCCAAGTACCTAGTTACCTAAGCTAATATATTCCTGCATGCACCATGGGCATCCATGATAAGCGTCATCCTCGGAGAATAACTAATTACCTGGTAAGGTAAGGGACCTCATTATTACGTAGGATCCTGAATTGCTGGAAAAGTTACCTATGCGACACCTCTTATCTCCCCCACTTTAGTCGTAATCACATGTCAACATAATGTTCATGTGAAGGTAGGACCAGGAGAAAATAAGATACTGCAAAGAAAAAGAAAAGAGGCAAAAACAAAAAGGCCCTGAGATCCTGTGATCCTATGTCTCTTTCCTCACCGCAGATACAACCAGGAAAGCAGAAGAAAAGAAAAGAAAAAGGAACTGGTTCACTACACTTCGCTCAAGAACTCGTGTATGGAGGCAAGTACTGTCAGTGGTCAAAAGAAGCGAAGCGTTCTACGCGATGTGATTATGTAAAGTGCTTCGGTCCTTTTGTCCGGGTCACTGTAGTTACGAAGAGCCGAAGGGAGAAGAACTCGCTCGAAAGCCCTCGCCAAAAATAAACAAATGGTACGAATACGATGAAGATCATCACTTGCGAAATTGTAAACCCTGTTCGACAGGACGCGTCCGCATTAAGAATTCCTTTGCCGTGTTTTGACCAACCCTCGAAATGCACAAGAGGTATATATGTAAACAACTCCCGAATCTCTCATGACACCACATCTTGTCTTCCTCGCGTGTACCAGTACGGGACGGACAAGCCCCGTTCGATTGGCATGTACTTCGTACAACGGACCGACTGCGGGACCGCACAACTGGAGAGTGGCCAGGCCATCAACAAATATGCACAGGTATGCAAGGCCAAACATCCGCATGCCATCTGTCCAGGCAAATGAAGCATCCCACTATGAGTCCAGAGTTATTTATCCATCCCCCCCCCCCTTCACCCCGCTCATGTTCTCCGCCATGCCCAGAATCCTCCCGCCGACGCCGTCGCAGGCGCCGCCACCGCAGTCGAGCTCGCAGTCCGAGCCAACGCGGGAGCCGCACCCGCCGTCGTCTTGGTCGCATCCACCCCGCCGCCTCCCGTGAGCCTGTTGAAAACCCCCACGGCCGCCGACACGGCCTGTGCTGGGTTCGCCGCCGCGCCCTGTGTCGGCACCGGCAGCAAAGAGGAGTCGCCGGGACCCAGGCCGTAGGCTTTTTTCAGACTCTCCAGCTTCTGCTTTGCTTCCTCCGCCTCCTGCTTGGCGATGGCCTCCGCCGTCTTGGCCTGCACCAGCTCCAGAAGCAACACGTCGTGGTCGATTCCCGGCGGTGCGGGTGGTGGTGGTGCTGTGGTGGTTGCGGCAGTGACCGGCCCTGGCGCCATCGTCTCCTGCAAGTGCGGCTGCGGCAGCGACGACGTCCTCTTGCTGAACGAGGCCGCCGGCGTGTGAGCGGGCGTCGATTTGCTTCTGCCCAGTTTCAACTCCCGGAGTCCGCCGTTGGCCGGTGCTGCTGCTCGGGGCCACTCGCTCCCCGCCGTCCTGTTGTTGTTCGTCTCGGCGCGCGACGAGGCCGACGATGTGCGAGTCCTCATCGAGTGGATTTGCCTCTCCAACCTTTGTTTATCCTGGTGCATGTTTCTCGCGTGCGCATGACTCTCCTTCAGCTGATCCTTCAGTGATGAGATCTCTTGGCTCATGTCACAAATGCTCCGGCCGTATTCTTGGCTTTGTGAGACGGCGCTGGCCAGCTGGTCTTTGGCCCGGCTTAGCTCCTCTTGCAGCTGTGACTTGGATCGGATCGTCGATGACCTGCGACGAGCCGTGTCTACCGCTCCAACCGATCCAAATCTCTGTTCAACGACGTCAAGAAGCTGTGACAGTTCTTGCGCCGACGGTGTCGTGTTGACGTCGTCCGCCTCATCGTCATCATCATCGTGTATTGATTTTTCTTCAGGTTCTCCTCCTTCTCTTTGTTCTTTTGGTTTTTCTCCCTTCTTTTGTGCACCGGACCTTTTCTTAGCTTGGTCGACGCTCCTGTCGCTGCCGCTGTCGCTGCCGCTCTCGCTCTCGCTCTTGATCGGTGGAGCGCTCGGTTCTTCCAGCTCAGTGGCCTTCACCTTCACCGTCTCAGCACTCGCCTCAGTGCCGACCGAATCGTTGCTCGCTCTCTTCCGTAGACCTTCGAGAAGTGATCGGACGGCTTGTCTATCTTCTTCACGTTCCTCACGCTCCTTCTGCAATTCGGAGACGAGAAGCGCATGGTTTCGCTGTAGCTCGCTCAACGCGGTCAGGAGGTCTTCGATCTGCGAATGCAGGTTTCGCTCCTCGGTGTTTTTCAAAGTGCTCGTAGGGTTCGCTTGCCTGGTCGACACGGTGTCGTCGGCCGTGGTAGTCGAAGAATCCCGGGAAGCCGCGGTGGCCTCGGTGGAAGCAGAGCTCGCCACGCTGGCGGAGCTGGCCTCCATGGAATTGAGGGTGGAAGCAAGGCTCTGTTTAGACGTGCTCCGCCGCAGCATGCTCAGCGGACGCGACGGGGCGTAGAGGCCGGGGCTGAGGCTGGAAGGTTTCGGGGGCGAGACGGCCCAAATGCGACCGAGGAAACGGGACGCCGCGGTGGCCACGTCCGACGTGCGGGCGGCGTTGGCGGTCGCAATCTGCGCTTCGCGACACCCCTGCTCGAGCTGCAGTAGCTTCTCTCGGCTAACCACGCCGGTCAGGCTAACAAAGTCCTGGACAAACTCGTCGGCGTTGTAATGATAGCAGTCCCACAGGCCACGCGATAGCAGAAGTTGCATGACATCCTCGAGCTCGCTGCAGGCGAGAATACGAGCCTCGTTTTTCCGCATGAGCGACAAGGCGACCCGCATCAGGGTCTCGGGCGCACCCTCGGCGAATATTACGTCGTAAATGCGAAACAGCATGGGGAGCGGGCACGTTACGGCGAAGAAGCTAAGGAACCACTGTGAAACGTAGGCCGGGTCAACCTGCAGGTCCTCCAAGTGCCGCGCCAGGCTTGGCAGAAGCTCGTGCAGGAGCTCACGGAACTGGTAAATGCGGATGTGTAAACCGGACAGATCCGGGAGGAAACAGCTCGTCAAATCGTACCGTTCCATCAATCTGGTCGTTCGATGATCAGCAATCAAAACTCAATTGAACCACCCCGACCGCACTCCAGGTACGTGTGTGGTGTGGCACGGCCTTTTTTTTCCCTTCGTTTTTGGTTTCGCGGGAAAGAAAAAAAAAAGAAGAAAAAAAGGAATAATGGGTCCTTACCGGACCAATACGCAGAATGCTTGTTTGTCCGGCATGTGCATAAGCAACGGGCCGACGAGGAAAGCCAATCCCTGACAATAGCCAATCTTCTGGTCGTAGAGGCTGAAGCATTTCAGCACCTTGCCCAGCATACGCTGGCCATCGCCCTCGGGATCCCTGAACATGTCGACGCCAGGGAAACTCCTCCCCAAGTCCTTGCCGATGATGGGTTCGTAGGGGCTGGATTCCCCCGACAACGTCTCATATTGCTCCTCCAACGCCGCGTCGCGAGCCCCCGCCATGCTCTGCCACACGACGCCTCGTAACGGCGGGGGGATTCCCTTTCGGATCTTGTTGGAGAGGAGGGTGGGTAACCGAGCGGCGGTCTGCTGGTAGTCCTTCACCAGGGCGGCGTAGAACTCAAGGTCGGTCATCGGCGGCGGCGGGAGCATCGAGTACCGCAGGGCCGGCGGGGTCGGCCCGTTGACCATCTGTCGCAGCTGGGCCATGGAGGGGGGCCTCGGTCGTGGAGAAGATGACGAGACAGAGGGTTCGGCGGCTCGGACTTTAACGCTTTTGGGGTTCGTAGCCAGCTTGGCGTTTTCTTTTTCGAGCATTGCCAGTAGCATAGCCGTAGACTACAAAGCCGCGCGCAAAAAAACAAAAACCTTTGTCAGTAGGTGGGATGGCAAGACACCGCGTAGCGAAGCGAGCGGGATAGAAAGAGGAAGGGGGGGGGAAGGAGGAAAAAAGAATGATAGCAGGAGAAGAGGGGGACAGAAACGAACCCTATCTGTATCCTCGTCTTTTGGTTCTTCAGCTTCGCTCTTCTGAAGCTGCTCCCAATTCACCTCCTCGGACACAGAGGAGCGGCGGTTTCCCTCCTCTGATTCCTCTGTCTGTTGTTCCTCCTGTTGTTTCGCCTCCTCTCGGTCGCGTTCCTCACTCTCTGACAGCTCGTCCTCTATGCTGCGGATGCCATTAGGAACCGAGAGAGGGGTTGAAAGGCCAACCGAGTCCTCCTCCTCTTGACAATGTACGTCTGAATACCCGCTCTCTCCTCCCGCAACTTCGGATAGAGGCGTGGATAGAGGTGTCTTGTCGAGTCGTACCGTGTTCGGTCGTTGGGGGGTGGAGACGTTGGCATCGGCAAAAGTGGTGTCGACGGTCAGGGAAGGGGGCTCGGAAAGTCGGACGGTGACCATGGAATCGTGGGTTATCTTAGATGTCTCGTCCGAGTCGCGCGTCGGAGACTGTTCATGGAGGGGAGAGGTGTTGGTATGCATGGCCTCCACTGGCGAGTCATCAGGGACTCGTCGCCCAGGCTCGGTCTCCATGGTTCAGGGTGGTTCTGGATCGCGTCGTCATCCGCCAGTCGTTCAATTAGGGAGTAGGCGAGCGGGCAATGGAATGCTGAATGCCCTCTTCTCCCTTGTAGATCCGGGGCCTTTCTACCAACAAGCGACGGCCGAGGAGACGGGTGCCCGTTACACGAAAGGAGCTATCAGGGCAAAGAAAGGTTGAATTTTTATCGACACCCGCCAGCAAAGACCTGCCGAAATGGCGGGAGACGAGATTGTTGTGATGTTTTTGCCGCTCCTGCCGAGAGGGGGATTCGCGGTTGTCGATCGTCGAGGAGTCGGTCTAGATGTTCTGTTCGTTGGTGCTTCCTGCAGTTTCACGCCCCGTGCTGATAGATTGATGTGCCAAGATTCACTGAAACACGTCGTCTTTCTCTTGGACCTGTTGGCAAGGTGTGATCGGATAGGGTCAAGTTCAAAAAGGCATAATAGCGCTGTTGTTCCTGGTGCCTTTTTTTTTCTTTCTTTTCTTTCTTTTCTTTCTTTTCTTTCTTTTCTTCTTTCTCCTCTCTTTTTTTCGTTTCGTTGATTCGTCCAGTTCGGTCGATCGACTTGAAGATCGGAAAGAAGGCTTGCTCTTTAGGACAATCACGCTCGCGATTCATGGATAATGTAGGAGATGGATGAAAAGTACGTGAAACACGCTGATACTACTAGAAAACTCCACCCAAAATAACAATTCTATGAGGTTGGTATGTATATATAAAGGGGGAGAAAAGAGAGGAATCATTAACAACTTCCTCGTCTTTGGTTCCCTTTGGTTTGCTTGAAGACGAATGGGGAACCGGTATTGGGCAATGGGGGGGTCGTCAAATTTCCCCCATTACCAACTTCTAACCCCTTATTCGTCCCCTCAAGGCTGATTATTCGGGAGCTCAATGAACTTTGGGAAAGCCCCCGTATCCTCTATCTCCCAGAACGTACTAGTACAAGAGCACGTCCCCTGCAGCGTGTGCATGCTTGCCGAAGCCTCTCCCCGTCCCCCAACCCAAGTGCCTAAAATGCAGGTCCCATCTCCAAAGTGACCCGTGTCATCGTCCACGAATGGTAGCCTGTCAGTAAAAATGGGGGGTTATCAAAGGAATGCTTGGAGCTTGGAGCCCACAAACTCGAAGCCCTCTCCTCTCACGGAATATTTTGGGGCCCAGCTCGATTTCTGACCCCCAAGAGAATAAACAATAAAGAAAGATACGTCCGCGAGTCTGTGGATTCGACGGACCCTCGACTCTCTATCCGTACTTCATGTCGTATTTGCACGACGAGGACATCTAACGCTTCCGTCTTTTCCTCAAACCGTTCAAAATAGCCGTAGGCTGGTGTCTAAGGTAATTACCGGATGAGAGACTCATACGAGTCTGTCGAACCGGCAGTTTTTCTAACCGCCGATATGACGCATACTACTATCTTGAATGAAATACGTTCCCACGGGATACACAAAACACCCACTCCATATTGGAGTTTCATGCACATATACCAAAAGTTTCCTCAACGCCATAGGCCATGAATCCCGATTTTCCGACAATTTTCCTCTGCATCGCTGCGTGTTCTTGGTGGCCTTTCCGCCTCTCGCAGCATTGGTATCGATCATAGATTTACCCCCAGACAGACACGCTCGCTGGCAGCAAGACTGTACGTTACACAGGCAGTACGGGCGGGCAGCAGCACAGCCACCATATGGTCGGTTCTCAAAGGTCATGAGGGAACCGCCGCTGAAGGTTGGTGATCACTTGTGGTAGCAGGCGCTTGCGTGGGGCCCTGAAAATGGGAAACGACGGGACTCCCCTGCAGTCCCAGCATCCTCTGCCCTTGAACTTGACCAGTACCCGGGTGGCCTTGCCCTTGCGGGCGCTGGGCCTGGTACATCGATTCCCTCTTGGCGTCGACGCCGGGAAACAGAGACTGCAGTTTCGTGTATAGGTCCGTTATCAGCTTTATTCTCTCCTCCCGATCCGCGGTTGGATCTATCCTCCTGTCGTTCGAGTCGGACCCGGCCGGTGGATTCTTGATCTTCAGGTTCATGTTGAGCGGCGGTGGTGTAAGATACGTGGGATAGGGTGGGACCTGGACAGACGCTTTGCGATCAGCCAGAGCAGCCAAATAGCTCAAGTTTCCCTGTAGCCGGCGCATGCACCTGGATTGATTCGTAGTCAGCCATCGAACACAGCGAAACGCCGGACGAAAAGAACCCGGGAAAGAGACCTACTGGGTATAGTCATGGTGCGCCATGGCTTCTTCTGGTGTGGGCTTCCTGTTCTGGTCGGTTCCGCCGGCCCCTTCTCCAGCCGCCGCAGCCGCCTCTTTCTTCATGTCTTGCATCACCTGCTGCAGCTGTATCGACTCGTAGAGCAACTCCTGGTTGATACTGAGCAGCAAAGAGAATTTCTCCTTTTCCCTCGACTCGGCACCAGGGCTGAGAGGTGTAGAAGCAGTCGATGAGCCGTTGACGTTGGCGTTTTGTGAGTGGGAAGGGAAAGTAGGCGTCTGAGGTGTTGTGGCATGGCTCGTGGGTGCTTGCTGGTTCGTCGGGGTCTGGCTGTTTGAGGGAGGCTGTGGCGTTGCACGCTGCGCTTGCTGCTGCTGCTGCTGTTGTTGGTGCTGATGTTGACCTTGCGAGTGCGCCATACTGTTCGGTGTCCCTTGGGCGATACTCGGTGGCCTTTGTGGGGTGGCCAGGCCGCCAGCACCGGCGTGATGTTGTTGCTGCTGGTGTTGCTGCTGCTGTTGCTGATGTTGCTGATGTTGCTGCTGTAGAGCTTGCTGCTGTTGCTGATGTTGCTGATGTTGCTGATGTTGCTGATGTTGCTGATGTTGCTGATGTTGCTGATGTTGCTGCTGTAGAGCTTGCTGCTGTTGTTGTTGTGGCTGGTGTGATTGTTGCGGTTGTTGTTGTTGTTGATGATGTTGCTTGTGTTGTTGTTGTTGCTGCTGCTGCTGCTGCTGATGTTGTTGTTGTTGATGCTGTTGCTGTTGCTGTTGCATACGCTGCTGCATCAACTGTTGCTGTTGTTGAAGTTGGTGATGCTGCTGTTGCCGTTGTGGACTCATCGCGGCGTTCATGGGGAAGCCAGGCATACCGCCGCCGGCCATGTAATTAGAGGGGAATTGTTGCGCCGCCGACGTCGGCAGATTGCCGCCGTAGGCATTGGCTTGGAACTGGTGATTCTGATACGGGACTGGTAACCCAGAGACGTCAGCTTCTGTAGTGATTCCACACATAGCAAGTGCACCCCGTTGATGTGGCTGGATGTGGCGGGATGCGACGAGGCGCTCGTTCCCCCACTTTCGACGCCGGCTATAGTGGTCGCAAAAGCGGAAACCACAGTTTCCTGACAACAGTTGCAAAGGGTAACAAATACAAAGCGAGGAAAAGAAGAAGACGTCAACGGGGGGTTGAGGCGGGTTGGGGTGGAGACAGGAGTCGGGAGTCGGGAGTCGGAGTCGGCGCCGACGCGGCGGCGGACATCGGCCGTAGAGGTGAAACACGAGAGATATGGGAAAGTCGATGTAGGAGGACACGAGCGAGAGGCAGAGAGAGTACGAGATGGGGGGGAGGCACAGCAACAAAAGGACAAGCAAGCGCAAGGGGCCACTTACTCTGTCCATTAGTGGGCATGTGCGGCATGGCGGTCGTCTGCATCATGGCTGCTGCAGGCCCAGGGCCCGACATCATGGCGGGATTCGGGGCTCCAGCGCCAGGAAAGCCACCCTGGGCGCCAGGCATACCGGAGAACTGGTTAGGGTTGTACATCATCGGCTGACCCGGTTGGGTTGGAACAGCGCCCGGTTGCAGATGAAGGTTTTGGCTGGGATGTGGGGCGGCGTTGTTGAAGGTTGGAGGAACATTGGAAAAGCCGTAGTCGGGAGCGTACATGGCTTGCTGTTGCTTTATTTACTGGGCGGGAAGGCCAGTGGTCTTGGCCCCAGGGATGGGGGGGGCCGTTAATTCCAATTAGGTGGACTCAGCACAGACTCAGAGAGACACGGGAGAGCTCCCGGGGGGGTGAATAGAGAGGCGGGCCCCTGACACGGAGGTGTGAACAGGACCGACCGTTCAGCAAGCCAGCAGCCGCAATAAGCAGTTGGTGGTGGTGGTGGTGGTGGTGGTGGCGGCGGCGGCGGCGGCGGTGGGTGGTGGTCTGGCGGTTGAGGGTTGCTTGCGTACTCCGTACTCCGTAGACAAATTGCTGACTGATATGCTGGGCGTCGATGACCGCAAGAGTCGTACGGATACAGAGTGAGGTCGAGTTTCAGACAGGAACGCCTCCGACTGCTATGATTCGTCAGGAGGAGGATATGTACTTGGCAGCGCTAGATACAACCATGTATACGTTGTAGGTACACAAGCAAGGGCGCGTGTTTTGGTCGTGGGTGGTCGTTCGTTGATGAGATGCGTAGGAGGCGCGTCCTTGTCTCTCCCGAGTGATACTACTTGCAGCCGCCCGCAGGATAAGGTAGATAGACAGTCGCCAGACTAAAGGGGGTGTGTACAGGGGGGTGTGGAAAGGCGGGGAAGATGGAATGGAGGTTTAGGATCGTGACCAAGGCGGTCCAAGGCAGGAGACGAGACGGTGCTGGAGTGAGGCAAATGAGGGTGAGGCGCCTGGGAGGGAGGGGCGGCCAAGGGGAACAGGGATTGGGGGATAAAAAAATCGATAGATTTTGATCGACCTGGCGCTGGAAGTTCCAGGAATCTCGTAAGGCGACAGCAGATGGGGGCTTTGTCGCGTGGGATGCGGATTTGTGATGGGTATCCGTACGTTGTGTCGCGTGTCTTGTCTTGTCGTGTCATCAACAGATTAAGAACTTCGTTTTCGCTGTGGTGGGAATGAAAGACGAGGGAAAGACGGGGGTGGAAAAAGCAAAGATTTTTTCTTCTTTTTTCTTTTTTTCTTCTTTTTTTTGGCGTTCCCCTCTCTGTATCAAAGGGACACAGTGGAAAAGCCTAAGGTACGTACTAATGAATTGCCTAGCGGCTCCAAAGAGAACCGGCTCTTGTCTACAACGTAAGGTAGCACGATCTAGTACCAAGTACACAGTACGTTGGTCAATCCCCATTCGTCGCTACAGTGCGTTTAGTTTCATTTCAAACAGGTCTAACCTGGACCGGAAAGAATCTCGGCCGGTGACTCGAGACACGTGGGGAGTGTCACTAACAAACAGCACCATGAACAACAACATGGACTGACGCAGAAGTCGAGAAGCTGCGAGGGTGCACTTGGGTCAACGAAGTAAACAAACCATAAAGCCACAGGGACTGGAAATAAATTATCACTATTCCATAGGTTTTGTGGGTCACTGTTTCGGATTCGGTCGTTTGGTTGCTTTGTACGTGTACTGAGAATGATGAGAGAATTATGGACCGGGAGACGTACCTCATCATACACATCGTGTACCGGGTACCAATTGAATATTGTTACCTGGGATTTGAAAGAAGGATTAAGCTTTCTGAAAGAACCAGAGTCTGAAGGATATTTCGTTTCCTTCGGTGCCTTCAACACGTCTTCTTGATGGTGCTTGTAGCTACTAAAGTAAGGAGCACCTGAGGTGAGCTTTCCAAATTCAAGCTACCACACGTGGGAACGCCGCGTTCACCCCCGAACTCCGGCGTCGGCCTCGTCCGCCGAACACAACTACGAAGTAAAGCCCCCAAAACTCCTAACGTCGATGTACCCGTAAGTATCTCGTCCATACTCAACATGTGGGGAGGTACTTCAGTTGTCAGTGGAGCTACCTTATGAGAGAGGTTTACGAGGTACAAAGCATGAGTCGACTCATAAACAGTGTGACTCGTTTCGAAGAAGCCTTCATCTACCGACCTCATCCCATATCACTCTACAGTCAATATACGAGAGCTCGACATTTCTGTTGTTCTCTTGTTCTCTTGTTTCAATTCAAGAAGAACATAATAATAATAAAAGGAGACTCAAGAAAAGATGTCGCCGTTCAACCTGCAAACCTGTGCGCGGAAAAATATCCTAGCACTAGAACCATACCGATGCGCGAGAGAGTGAGCCAGCGTCCCTGAAGAACGTCTCATGGGCGGACGAACTAATTCAGCTTAATCCAGTGACTACAAGGACGATGGTACAAACATCCTCCTAGATGCGAATGAGAACGCATACGGGCCGTCCCTCCAGCCGGATATCTCTCAAGCCGACCTGAACGTCGACTTCCTCGGCCTCCACCGGTACCCTGATCCTCACCAGGCGGACCTCAAGCAGCTGCTGTGCAAACTGCGTAACACCCACACTCACACGTCCAAGGACTTGACGCCCGACAACCTTTTCGTCGGTGTTGGCAGTGACGAGGCCATCGACGCCCTGTTCCGCTGCTTCTGCGTCCCCGGCAAGGACCGCATTCTAACCTGCCCTCCCACCTACGGCATGTACTCCGTCTCGGCCCAGGTAAACGATGTCGGCCTAGTCAAGGTCCCGCTACGACCCGCTCCCGAGTTTGGCCTCGATACAGACGCCGTCCTCGAAGCCCTGGGCCGCGAGGAGAACGTGAAACTGGTCTACCTCTGCAGCCCCGGCAACCCCACCGCCTCCCTGCTCGCCAAGGACGACGTCCGGAGAGTCCTCGAACACCCGACCTGGAACGGCGTCGTCGTCCTGGACGAGGCCTACATCGACTTTGCCCCCGACGGCACATCCCTCGCCGAGTGGGTACTCGAGTGGCCCAACCTCGTCGTCATGCAGACCCTCTCCAAGGCCTTCGGCATGGCGGGTATTCGCCTGGGCGCCGCCTTCACCTCACCTCCCATCGTCCGCCTCCTCAACAGCCTCAAGGCGCCCTACAACATCTCGAGCCCTACCAGCGCACTGGCGTCCTACGCCCTTTCTGGGAAGGGCCTGAAGATCATGAGGGCGAACCGAGACAAGCTCCTGGCTCAGCGCGAGCGGCTCATTGCCGAGCTGCCCAAGATCCCCGGCGTGGGTCGCCTGCGCGGCGGGACCGCCAGTAATTTCTTGCTCTATGAGATACTCGACGCTTCAGGCGCCCCGGACAATGTCACTGCCCTGGCAGTCTACGAAGCCCTCGCCGAGACCGAGGGCGTCGTCGTTCGTTTCCGCGGCAAGGAACACGGGTGTCTAGGATGTCTCAGAATCACTGTCGGTACGGAAGATGAGGTCACGCGCTTCTTGGGTTCGCTACGGCGCACGCTCGAGGAAGTCCGGGGGAAAGGAAAACAGGCAGGCGAGGAGGAGAAGGAAGCAGCGGCGAATGCTGTCGTGGCATAGAGAAGGAGCGTGAATAAAGAAGTACATAAAGAGGAGAAAGTCGGGTTTCGACGGGCTGTCACTTTGTGTTCGAACTGCTCTGGTTCAATACGGGAAGATCGATTCTTCTTGGCCCGTCCGTCTGTCCCCCCGTCTTGGGTACGGATAAACGTCTGATTCTAGATTCTGGTTCTAGACCGTAAACAATTAATTAGATCGTATTCGAGTGGCCTAGCCCGAATATTCCCACGTCAGCGACTGCGGCGCTCGTTCCGATGATGCATGCCCCTCGCCGGGACTCAAAGCGGCCTCTATTCCGTTCAAGTACGATTTAATGTAGCTAAGAGGATACGCAGTAGTAATAGCATACTGGCACTGAACATTGTCATCGAATCTTGGTGTCTGTCTCTGTCTATCCGTAGAGAGATGGGGTCAGCAGGATAACTCGACGCTGCTTCCCCTGGAGATTGGACATCAAATCTGGCTGCGCAGCATCATCCTTGGTTTCGGGATATTTCTCCTCTCTATTTATAACCGAGCAATCCAATGATGATGACTCAACGTGGCTTATAAGGCTAGGCGCATTCACGATGCGTATTCAACGCCATAGAGTTGGAGTGGCAAGCCTCTGGCGTCGAGTGGCCATCGCGGGAGTACGACATGGAAAATACAAGTCCAAGTCTACAGTCTTAAGGCAGGGCAGTCCAAGCCGCCTGGAACTTTCCAGCTACCTTATCCGAACTGAGGACACGCTGCTTCCTTCATATTCAGTGATCCCTCAGTCGTGAATACAGCTATCGTGAACAGAACATGATGGGCTTCTTGAGATTGATCGGGATCGGGCTTGTCCTGCCCGCAGTGATCAACGCGATTGACCTGGACGTATCTGATCCGAGTAAGTCTTTCTTGCTCTGCACAACTGACAAAATGCTCTTCTTGTCCTGAAGCATCATACTCACATAACATCGTGAAGACTCCATTCGAAATGCAGCCGGCACGATTGCCCATGGCGCAATGTCGTATTACAACGGCAACGTGACGGACAACAAGGAGGTGAACAGTTGAAGCCCCATCCCAAGAGAACCCGCAGACAAGAAGCTGACCCTTACCCAGATGGTCGGAGACCTGCCCGATCCGTACTACTGGTGGCAAGCCGGAGCGCTCTGGGGCGCCATGCTGGATTACTACCACTACACGGGCGACCCCTCGTACAACAAGGCCATCATCGAAGCGGTCCTCGCCCCCGTCAACATGGGCCCGCATCACGACTACAATCCCCCGGAGCACTTCGACGAGCTCGGCAACGACGACCTCGGCTTCTGGGGCTTCGTCGTCATGTCGGCCGCCGAGCGCAACTTCCCGCAGCCCAACCCCGACCTCCCCGCCTGGCTCGACCTCGGCAAGAACATCTTCCGGACCCTGTCCTCCCGCTGGGACAACGAAAAGTGCGGCGGCGGCCTGTTCTGGCAGGTCTTCGAGTCGAACCCCAACGGCGTCAACTACAAGAACACCGTCACCAACGGCGGCCTCTTCCAGCTCGCCGCCCGCTTGGCCCGCGCCACGGGCGAACAGGTCTACAGCGACTGGGCAAAGCGCGTGTGGGACTGGTCCGTCGCCAGGGGGCTCATCGGGAAGAAGCTCGTCGTCTACGACGGTGCCCACGCCAGCGAGGGCTGCAAGCGCGTGAACCACGTCGCCTTCACCTACACCGCCGGTATCCACCTGCACGGCGCCGCCGTCATGGCCGAGGTCACAGGCGATAAGGCCTGGGAGGAGCGAGCGCATGGGTTGCTGGGCGCTGCGGCGGAGCATTTCTTCAAGGATTCCATCCTGTTTGAGCCTGCCTGCGAACCATCCGACATGTGCAATCACGACATGAAGGTATGTTTTCCCCTCTTTTTCTTTTTTTGTTTCTTTTTCCTTTTCTTGTTTCTTTTCCTAAGGCCTCCCGAGTCTGAACCTCCCGGCTGATATGGAGAACTCTCCCGCCTTTTCACAGTCCCTGAAAGGCTATCTCGCCCGTTTCATGTGGCAGTCCACCTATCACGTGCCGTCTCTCACACCCAAAGTCAGAGAGCTGCTCGAGGCGTCTGCGCGAGCTGCCGCAAAGTCGTGTTCGGGAGGCAAAGATAACAAGACGTGCGGTCAACGGTGGTATACTGGCGGCTTCGACGGTTCAGTCGGGCTGGGGCAGCAGATGTGCGCTCTCGAGACCATCCAGGGCCTTCTCATAGACCAGTCGCAGCCGCCTTTCCGTGGCGGCGATATCAAAGTGGTCCGAGACCTGAATTGGAAAAGAGCAGTAGCGCCCAAGAAGACCGAGCCCACGAAAGACGGCAAGCCTGAGAAACAGGGTAAGCCCAAGCTCAGAGACGAGGGACCCGAAGTTGACGAGCCACCCGAAGCAAACGAACCACCCAAAGTGGACGAGCCTGGTAAGCCGGCCCCCAATGTTCCCCAGGAATCCACAGATGTGGAAACGGGCGTGCCACCCGGTCAACTGCCACCGGACGGTCCAGGGCCAGCCATCCCGCCACCTGGAGTTCTGGGCCCCCCCGGCGCACCAGGGGATACAGCCACGGCACCGCAACCTGCCCCGGATGCGGTGCCTGACACTGTAGTCCCAGATTTTGGAGGACCGTTGGTGACGGATAATACTGAAGGCCCGGGTGCTCCTGCGGCCCCAGGTCCTGAAGAAGGCCCTGAAGAAGGCCTTGAAGCAGGCCCTGAAGAAGGCCTTGAAGCAGGCCCTGAAGAAGGCCCCGAAGCAGGTCCTGAATTGGGTCCTGAAGCAGGTTCTGACGCAGGTCCTGGAGCAAGCTCTGAAGCAGGCCCTGATGCTGGTCCCTCCGCAGGCCCAGACGATGCTAACTCTACCCAACATCCAGGATCAGCGGGCGGCGGCACACCCAGCGATGAGCCTGGTGGGCTTCGCAAGGACAGCAAGAAACCGAAGGCTGATGACGGAAAGGAGGAGGATGAGGAGGAACCAGGAAAGGAAGACAGTGAGGGCTTCGCGACGCTGGTTGGTCCGAACTGGTTGCTTCTTGGAGCCACGTCCCTCGCACTCGCACTTGGTATCGGGTGCACCATGTCCTTGTAAGCCCGGGAACATGGGCGCGGGAGAGTGGAAAAGGTGCGAAAGAAAACCAGAGAAGTCTTTGACTGTCTCGTGCTAGGAATTTGTTGGTTTCTTCTGCGTTTTCGGCTCACGTCAAGATTCGCGTTCTAGTTTTTAAAAGTCGCTTCATCTAGTCAGTCGGAGGAGACCAAGTAGAGAAGAGGTGCTGCAAAAGGGGTTGGGTCATCCTCAGTGTAATTAATATAATCGCACCACTTCCTCTCATCCTGTTGAAAAAGTGACAGGTTCCTTACGAAGTCATGAAAGCAACCCTCTCAGGCTCCGTCGAGGTTTGGAATCTCTTCCTTGTTCTCGTTTCTCGTCTTCAGGTGGCACTCCAGTGTCGTTGCATAAATGTCAACACGATAGAGCGGAGAACACCCTCGCCAAGATGATGCTTCGTTGTTCTGAAAAGGGGGAAACTGAATCAATTCCGTAATGCTTCTTTCATGCCTGTGGAAAATGTAACGCCAAATCGCAACGCCATTAGGGGGGTATAACTCCAAATAATCGGAGTACTGTCACGACGCCTAAACAAAACCCGCACAATACCAATATAACACGAGTGTCGCCGACTCATGTCCGTTTTGAAGTCAACTCCAAAGTCTCCTGCCATGCCCCCAAGTATAGATAGGGGCCACGTCTTGTGAGCCTGCGACCACCCATCCGCCCACTGCTGTCCAGCCATCTTCGACCGGCTTCCGTTCCGGGGTTTCGTCACGGCCGAGTCGAAACCGTGTCCTCGATTTGATTTGTTTTGTTTCTGCCCATGCATCCGTGAATGGGACATGGCGTATGTCCAAGATTTGGTGTGTATCTTGGGGTATTTTCTTTTCTTCTCTTCTTCCCCCCCTTTTTTGGCTTCGTCTTCTCCGTCCATTATAAGATCACCACAAGGGTACTGGCAAAATCGAGGGCCTATATGGCGAACTGGGCGGCAAATAAGACGCCGCATATTGACCAGATACGCAACAAATTAATCGCATTCTGGGAGGCTGCACTTGGTTGCGTCTCGACAGGTATTGGTTCGGTGCCAGTGGGCAAGGTCCCGTCATACAAGAAGCCGTCGGTGGCAACTAGGTCGTCGGCGGAGGTGGGCGGGGAGAGAAGATCGTTCGTGGTCGTTTCAGTTGGCTGTTCGGCCAGGGTGAGAATGCCCCATTGTACCTCGGTTCCACTCAATGTCGATTCCCAGGTAACCTCAGTCGGGCCCGTATGAATGCCGGCAACGTATCCGCTCCTCAAACTCGAGTATGCTGAACATGTGGCGGCGGTGGTACCACCGAGTTGGCATTCCAAATTGACGGTGCTATTATTACCTTTGGGTTAGCATGAACCATCCTGATATTCGGTTGATGCCCATGTGCAGAAGAGGAGTCGGACAGAGAGATAGAGAGAGGCGCAGGGCAAGGTAGGGGCGAGGTTCCAGGGGGGGAAAGGGACATACTAAGTCGACGTCCTGGTGCCTTCGAACCGTAGGGTCTGATCACCCTCGGCAAAGATAAACGGAAACTCGAGAGCGAGATCGCAGTGGTGCGATATCGTTTGCGGGGCGCAGAATATAGTATAAATCGTCTCGTCGGCATTCTAACGTCCAAAATGGTCAGCCAATGCGGACGCTAAGAGCACAGCCACGCAGACCGGGTTGTTTGCGTATCCCCCTTACACTTGTGACAATACTTCCTCGGACCAAAGACCATGACTTGGACGAGTAGTACGGTAGGAAGATGGGAACCGTGGTCTCGTCTTCGGCGCGGCTGCCACACGTCAAGAGACAGAGCGAGAGCAACACGAACAACGGCTGTGGGTGCTTCATTGTCGCAGGAGAACAAGAGGCCTAAAGACCACCACGTCGACCGGTTATTGGCGGGTTATGGGTCGTCGCAATCGGAGCTTTACACGAGAAAAATGGTGTCGAGAAAGCTCAGTGGATTGATGTCGGTCAATTCGATCTGGGCGTCTTGGGGATTCTTGATGGGCAAAGCGGTCGGTATGTCGTGGAGAAATGCAAAGCAAGGTAGTCGACAATGACCGTGCGCTACGCTATGCGAAGAACTGGGACGGCGATTCTGAGCGACGACTGGAAACAAGAGAATCGCAGGCAGCGTCGTCGAGGAGGAGGCGACGAGGAGGAGGACCAGCGGACGAGAGAGATGAATGTGGGAAAGGCACAGGCTTTCGAAGCTCGCTCCAGGGAAGCAAAATGAAGTAATACCCGTAATCCGTAATTATCCTCTAGTCACCAACCGGCATTTGGATGACAAGAAAATGGCAAGGCTAGGCATGCGACGGCGCCCAGCAAAACCAGCCAGAGAGAAATTCAGGCACTTTTGCCATCTGTTCGCGGTTCTCTCCTCTCCTCCTCTTTCGTATTCTCTGGGCGTGCTGCCGGCGTGCCGTCGGTCCTCCACTGAGCGTCAGAGCCAAGGTCTGGGCTTGACGGGTGCTAAAAGGGCCCTCGATTTTCTCTGTGCGCCAAGCGCCAAGACCCTTGGTGGTGAACCCTGTTGAAGCCTTGAGGGGCAAGTCGAAGAGGCGGGCGTCCAGCGACCTGACCAGGACCATACCTATTCCAGTACCTATTCAGAATATGGTTAATAATATGATACTAACCTCAGAAAAGAGGTCCCCTTTCCTCGCCCTGTTTTCATTTTCCATGTGGAGTGCATCTCGAGACTGCCGGCCGGGACGGGAGTGGGGCAAGAGGACAAGACCACTCGTAAGGCAGTATAAATGGTTCAGCTAAAGAATGACGAGGACGACACATAACAGAGCGGGTGTGCCGATACCGGGCACGAGGGCCAAGAACACGGACAGTACGAAATAGAAAAAAGCGTGAGGAGGGAAGAACGGGAGGCGGGCTGCAGAAACCAAGGATAGCAGGAACGTACGAATACTGTACGAATACTCCATTGTTGGACAAATGCCAAGCATGCTCGCCGGTCTTGGCCAAGTCACGTTGGCTGACTTGCCAAGTTTCACAGTGAGTACGGAGTACATACGGAGTACGCCCATGTCTGATCATGTGCCGTGGTTTACATAAGCTTGAGATGAAGCCCACAGCTAAGGTAATTGTATCCCTACTACCTGAGGTAATAACGACTAACTCTGGAATAACCTCACTGTAAGGCGATGGACTCCCTCACACAACCGTCCTCGATATAATTACGGCTCGTATATCCTCGCCGTTGATGTCGATCTCTTCTGCCAACACTATACAGACGTTTCTGTGGGTTCTTGGGGGGGGCGGGTTTCTTTGTTCCGTTCTTGTATAGCTGAAAAGAAGAGAGATGGCATCCTGACCTTAGTCCTCCGTCTCCGGCGCTCTGAGGTCGCCTCCCCTCTTCATCAAAGACTTCCTCTCGCCGTCCTGGATGAGCTCCTCCTCAACAACCATGGCGTGCTCCTCCTCACCTATGCGCAGGCCCGCACAAGAAGCGATAAAATCGCACAGCATGGCCTCGGCGGCCTGCGCATTGCCGCTGAGAACGTGATTATCGCCTTCGAACAGTTGGAGCCGCCCGTTTCTCCGGTCGCCATACATAGAGAACAGCCTCTCCGAGCACGTCGAGCTCAGCGTGCGGTCCGCCGTGCCGTGGAGAAGAAGCAACGGCCGCGGCGCCAGCTTGCGTATCCCCTCCGTCTCCGCCGTCTGGCTCGCCACCGTCGCGCAACCGACCACCCGCTTGTCGCCGCCCGCGACCGTGAACACCGGCGCCCCTCCGAAGGACCACCCCACCAGGATGAACCGGTTCAGCCCGTACATGTCCTCCAGGTAGGCCATGGCCGCCCTGACGTCCTGCACGCAGTATCGGTTCCGCGCCGGCGCCCGGTAATCCAGCCGTAAGGTGGGGATCCCCGTGCTCAACGTCGCGAGCTTGCATGCCAGGGACAGGTAGATGGAGCTTGGTCCTGTAACGCCGCCGCCCGCCCCGGAGAGGAGTATCGCGGCTGTGCGATGGTGAGTTGTCGGTGCCGGTTTGATGAAGTCCGGGGGCATGTGAAGGAATCCCGACACGAAGCCATCCAGTCCTTCGTCGACATTGATGGTGAGAGCTTCGATCACGGCTGCTCTGTGAGCCCTTTTTTCCAGCCTGTCAAGGTGAGGCGGGCAGGACAACCCCCTATAATCGTTCATCGACTTCGCCATCGTATTTACGGGTTCAGGCCCCTCTGCGGATAATGAGGTTCGCACTGCCGTCGCCATTTCTTTGCTTGGGGTCTCCGTTCAATAACTGGAGGTCCTAGTAACGAATTCTCAGCTCTCAGATCAATTGGAAGTGTTCCCAGCATCACTTGTAAAACGCACAATGTTGATATCTGTAAGAGTGTTGCAGTTACGCACTTGTGGCTAACCCTCTCCTCATCATGATGTCAACCCGTTGACGGAAATCCATCTCACGTAATGCGCCATTGGAAATACCTCGCAATTCATTACGTGCTCCATTCCTGTACACCCTCAAAGAGACACACCCATAAGGTAGGTTCTCCCTTTGAATCCAAGTCTTTGCACTAAACCCCATCTCCGCTCTTTCCCCCCATCTTTCGGAGCCCATATCCTGTGATATTAAGCCCTGGCGTCCTGCCTTACATACGACACCCGGTCTTCAAGTCTCGGTTTCGCATCAGAACATCATCACACGCACTCTCTCGCCAATTAATTGGCAATCGACAATTAACTTCCCAAAGTCCCTAAAGATGTTGGCCATTGGGGCAGTCATTGGAGCTCTTTTCTTCATCCTTATCATGATGAGTGCCATAGCTGGTTGGTTGTATTTGACATACACTATACCCGCTCGATCTTCGTTGGCCTCCCAATATAGAACAGGACATCTGGAGCAGAGGCGCCGATTGGTTGAACAAATTGTTTCTTCCGAGAGCGGCATATATGCGCGTGAAGTCCAGAAGACTCGCCTGTCGGTTTCCTACCCTCGGTCAAAACCACACCGGGCGGTATGGTCAACACCGATTTCTGACTACCTCATCATGCTGCCCGGATACTAGGATAGCAAACAAAGAACTTTGCTCAACAAACAAAAAAAGGACGAAAAAAAAAACCCCCAACGCTGTTTGTGATAATAAGCACTCGTAACGACATGAAACATCCCGGAACCCAGAAAACACTGAAACGGTACTAGACCTCGGGGAGGGGCTTCCGCTGGCACACATGCTCGAGCTGATGCAACCGAATAAAGGTCATGGTAGGGCGTGACAGTCAAGCAAGAGGGGCCTGAAGCTATGCGAAAACAGACCAGCTTCTTAGTGCTCAATACGATCCTCCCTTCCGTCGAGCCAGCTGGTGCAGTTGACGCACCGAAGGGCCTGTTGTTATCCTCGTCAGTTACCGAAGATCTGTCAGGGCTTGCTATGGGAAAGAAACACGAAGGTGGGAAAAGTGGGGTGAAACAAATAAAACATCAGGAGAGTAGTGAGACTCACCGCTTCGTTCACCCGTTTCCTGCAGTACTTGCACTTCTTTGTGTGTTTGATGATGGGGTCTGTGGAAAAAACCTGATAGAAGTGCGCGAGACCCCAGAGGGAAAGACCAACACAGAAGAACGAGACGACATTATTGAAAAATGAGCTATAGGACATGTCGTGTTAGTTGCCGCGATCGTCATTGTGCAGGACGACGCCCCTCGGTAGAATAAAACACCATGACAATGTGGTGACAATGGGAGCTAAACTTTGGTCCAGGCTTGCTGGGGAAAGTCGATTGAAGACTTGCCCTAGGCAACCCGTAACGCCCGGGGAAGACAAGGAAACTGATGCAGACATACCCATAGGCAAGTACAACGGCGCCATCATCTTTGGCACGCGCAAGGGTGGTATAGCCCGATTCACGCTCATATCCGGGGCCCGGCTTAAGAACGGCGAATTTCTCTTCCATGTTACGGTTGATGGGGAAGATGACAGACAGGGGTGGCATCAAGATGTTATTCACGAACGAATTCACCAGGGTGGTGAAGGCCGCAGCCAATCTATGAGGGGGGCGCAGTGAAATATACGTCAACATCGAACGGCCATTAGATGCGATGAAGGAGAGCAAGAGAAATGGCTAGGGTTGGGTTACTAACATGAGACCGAACGCTATCTCGAGGATATTCCCCTGCATCGCAAAATCGATGAAACCTGCCCAGAGGCGGCGAGCCCTGTGGCCGCCCCGGGCGAGGAGGCTCCTCTCTTCATCGTCGCTTGACTCGTCGAGATGCGGCAAAGTGCAAGATCCAAATGAGCGGAACGGGTCTCGGACGATCGATGACATGATGATGGAAAGAAGAGAGACGGTAGATGCAGAGATATCAATATTTTGTCAGTGGCTGGCTCAGGAGGTCATAGTAAGGTGGTTTCGGGCCTCGCCGGTTGGGAATGAGCAAGTGAAGTCGCTCCCACGGTATAATTACTGACGGCCTTCGATAGAAATGGGGAATCGATGTTGCTACAATGAGAACAATCCCTGGAGCTGTCCATGCAGTCTGTGCACTGCACCACGCTGCGCTTATTATGCAATTCGATGCGACGCTACGGGACGCGATGCGCCACGGCAAGGAGAACGGTTTGTCGAAGTAAATGGAATGCTGGTTGATGAAGGAAGGTAAAGAGATCTCGAGGTAAAAGGGGCGGGATGGCGTCCTAAGTTACCGCCCGCTTAGTGCCATCAGGGCAGGGCGTTGGCCAAGATATTCCGTCGATTCGTCCCCACTTCTTACCCATGTACGGATACTAGGCCTTCCATCGTCAACTCCAGATTCGCTCAAGATCAAGATGTCTATTCGAGCTCTACAATTCGGTCTAGTACGAGGCTTGCATACGAGGATCTTGCTGTGCACAGGAAAATATCTCGTGTTTGCCGATGAAAATAGTATGATGTACAACGTCGTCAGTTGGCTTAACTCCAACATGACCATCAAGTCTTAAAGTCACATCGCAAATCGTAATCGGCCTCCCCCTAAAAGAGGACGGCCAAGCCGCGTTTGTTCCCGTTGAATCGGACCTAGAGATGGCTTCCGTCCAGCTCCTCCCAGTTTCCATGGGATGAGATGAAGATGACGTGGTGCAGAAACCCTCCCAGCAAGATCAAAATTCACATATAGCCCTCACGACTCGGTCAGAGGGGTACCCTGTGCGATCTTGCTCTCGCCGTACTTCTTGAGACGAATGGCCTGAATAGCGATGAATCCAGAAGTGTCCATGGGCGAGAAAGTGTCAAGAGAGTCCATCGACGCATCTTCCTCGCTGTAGAGGTTGCTGGTCTCGCTGCTGCGGCCGATCGTGTAAGCATTGCCCTCTGTAAAATTATGTTAGTAATGAATGTCCTTTCGACGACGATTTGGCCAGATACTGGCGAAGGAGCCCGCCTGAATAATCCCTAACGGGCTATAGAGGTCACCAAAGATCGGATCAGGATGATACATACTATAGACCACCATGCGGACAACTCCGTCCACGTTTTGCTGGGAGAAGATAATGGAATTCTCAACCAGCTCTCTCTCCGGCGAGCTGTTGATTGGTCAGCATTCCCATCCCCCTTTGAAATGAAACACGGCCTCGAGATCAGGCCCCGATTCCGCTCCCCAGTTCAACCTGCAAGGGCACAGAGGGATGGGTGGGTACTCACAAATACATGCCGTTGTACAGCTGTCGACTCCAAGAGATAGTGCAGAACTGGTCGCGAAGTTCGCGAACCTTGCTGTCCAGTACCAAGCCTTCGAGGTCGACATGGGCGAGGCGAAGGATGGTCAAGCCTGGTGAATCGTAGCAACCTCGGCTTTTCAGGCCTAAAGTACCATTAGTTTGAAACTGTCTTAACAACGGGTATACCTAGCCATACCAATGAAACGGTTCTCGACCTAACAAAAGAGGAAACCGTCGTTAGCAACAGTCAGGGATAAGAAAAGTGCCAAAGAAGACTCACAATGTCGACACGTCCCACGCCATTGTCATGACCGATGCGGTTGAGGAGCTTGAAGAGCTCCACGGGGTCGGTGGCCTCTATTCCGTCTTCAGTGACGACCTTGGTAGGCACGCCCTTGGTAAAGTGAATCGTGAGGTGGTATGGCTTATCAGGGGCATCGAGCGGGTCAACGGTCATCTTCCAGAGGTGCTTTGGCGGCTCATGGTCCGGATCCTCGAGGATCCCAGCCTCGTAGCTGCAATGGACGAGGTTCTCATCCATACTACAACCGGTCAGCTTCGGACAAGTCGAAACCGGCCAAAACAGACGTAACTGACCTCCACGGAGCTTTGGGGGTCGAGGAGACGGGAATGTCGTTGACCCGAGCGTACTCGAGGAGGTCCGCCCGACCCTTGAATTTACTGATGAAAGCCTCAATCCTCCAAGGAGCGATGATCTTCATCGAGGGCGCCAGTGCTTCTGAGTGTTAGTGGGTACTTTTGACAGGACATACGCAAAGAGTAGACGCGTACCTAGCCAGGCGAGTTCACTAACGCATAGCATGTTAGAGAAAATACTTCCAAGTCATTATAAGGGAGATAATGGGGAGCAAGCATTGACACAAAGCAATGAGCTTCGCCGAATGCGGAGGATAATACACGTACAATCTGACTTGGTCGTTGCCCTTGCCGGTACAGCCGTGGCTGAGACTATCGCAATTGAACTCCTGTGCCACGCGAACTTGTCTTTGCATATGTGAGTGGTATGTTCTACTACCTGGAAGATAGGTAACTGACTTACTCGCGAGCGATGATTGGGCGGGCCAAGCTGGTCCCTAGGAGATACCTGTCCTCCTGTATGAAATGTTGTTATTAGCATGCCTTGTCCGTATGGTGTTGTCTCTGGGTAGTGGTGGTGGATATAGTCTCTGTTTATTGAGTCTAGGGACCCACCACGTGAGACCGACTTACGTAAATAGCGTTGCATTGGACAGCTCTGAAGACTATCTCATTGACAAACTGGGCCTGGAGGTCTCGAATGACCATCCTTTCAGCTCCAAGCATGAGTGCCTGTTGTCGAACTTAGCATTCTGATTGATGGTGACGGACAAGGTAAAACGAAATACCTTCTTTTCGACCTCCTCCCAATCTTCCTCCTGGCCGACGTTGGCAAGGAAACACTATGATCGTGGTCAGACATGAATTACTTGGAAGAGTGGAAGGGGCATGAACATACGACGACGGTGTAGCCATCATTGATCAGCCATTTGAGGATGGTGGAGGTATCAAGGCCTATAAGCACAATCCATCAGTCATGCGGTTGATGGATGTGCAGTCCAACACTTGGGAACATACCTCCGGAGTAGGCGCTTCGTAAGATGTCAGTTGGCTTCTTATATGATATGAAGGAGTGCCAGAGAACTCACAGACAAACACGGCCCTTGGACATGATTCCGGTTATTGGCAGTACACGGATGATTGGGTGTTTTTGAGCCGGGAGATGAAAATACAACGGACTGTATTGCCTAGTATAATTTGAAAAGACGTTCGAAGAGAAACGTTCTTGGGCAGACGTTATGACGAGGTTAAAAATCGCAAAGATGGAAACGGCGAACCTTGCCTTTGCTGCATTCCCCGGCCCCAGGGAAAAGTTTTGTGGGACGCCGCCAATTGTATGTGAGTGTGAGTAATAATTGTTGGTTTGTGCGCTGAATCCGGTATCGGAATGACAAGGGCTCGAGATACAGATGGCGTGTCAACCTATGTATCTCGTAGGTACGTACACTACCTACCTAAATTAGCAGCTGGAAGCTACCTAAGGTACCTTATGAATGACTCAAGAAAATACACGAATATAAGGTACATAAGTTACTTCGTATGTCGACGGGAGATAAGGAACCATCGAGATCTCCAGGGAGAGAGCCGCTGAGGATTGCCTGTCCTATAACTGCAGCGAGTGAACATCGCCATATTATGACTCGTTGTCGAGATGCCCCAGAATATTTGTTGCGAGATGAAGAGACATAACCAGGCCATGTGTCCCGATCGGTTCCCGTTAACGGTCAGGATTCCATCGTCCGGTTGGCCCTTCTTCTTTCCCGACATCGAGACATCGACTTCTTCGTTGTGGCGTCTTTTTTCCACCTCTTACGCAGTCCAACGGCCCGACCGGCAAACACTCTGCCCTTCTTTTCATTGGTGCTTCTGTCGTTCGAGAAAGTAAATCATCGTGTGTCGGGGGTGCAATCAAGCCTGGCAATTCTGTTAGCCTCCTTGGAAAACCTGGCCAAATCCTCATCCTGCAAAATCTTCTCCAGGGCTTCAGCCCATAATGTCAATCGCGGCACGGATGTACTAGGAATAAGATCAGGTGAACGACTTGTACGACGATGAATTACGGTGAAGACATCCCTGGTTCCTGAAACGTCTTCCCTCGATTTTCATATATTGCGACCCGTGACACCTATTTGATATAAATATATGGTGTCACAATTATGCAACATCTCTATCTACGTGGATGAACCGTCCTTTGCCTGCTCTCTGCCCCACGATATGCTTCTCGATCTGCATCGCCGTCGACCTAACCCGGGCTAGTTCATTCCCGTCGGCCAGGGGTGTGTCCTCGCTGATGCCGAACCCGTACCGTAGCCGAAGGGTCTGTATCTTGCCCCAGTCGGTCGTCCAATCGACCTGGGTGCCCTGACTATTCTGCATGAGAGCACCGAACCAGGTCCCGCAACCGGTGAGATCGAGATATTCGAGCCTGTACAAACTCTTGCTGAGCTTGCGCAGCAATATGATGGCCTCAATCCAGTCGTCGTCGAGGCTGTGCGAGTAGGGACCAGTCCCTCCGTACTGATAGGACCGTCCCTGGTTACCCACGACCGTAGTGAACTTTGCGTTAGGCGTCAGACTGGGTTCTGGCCAGTAGGCTAGGCTCAGGTGCGTTAAGGTGGGAAGCTTGCCAGCCAGGGCGAGGAGCTGTTTCCACGATACTGTGGGAGATTCTGACGGGCTAACCGCGAGGGAGAGATGGGAAAGATTAGGAAGGAGTTGTTGGGGAAGGGACGGGAGAACTGCAACGTCCCATGAGTCCTGGACGGTTTCTGAAGAGGATTGTAACGCTGGGGGGAAGAGAGTGTTTGTGAGTTCTTTGACGGTTATGGACCGGCCAAGTGAACCTGACAGATCGAGGAAATAGACGTCTCTGTTTAAAGAGGCAATGATTTCGGCATCGGGAAATTTCTCCGCGCCGGGAATCTGTGATTGAGTATGAGCATCGGCGTGAACATCCGCATTGTTGGCATGGGCATCCTCGTCGTCAACCAACCCCGCGGGTAGTAGGATGCTTCTCAGATCAGCAACAGTGACACCTCGATCACCCCCAAGACTCAGATACTCAATCAACAACGACCGCACGCGGCTGTGTAGTGACGGTAGGTAGTATCGATTGTAGACACTTTGAAAATCCCAGTCGCTTACCATCTTCCGCAGCAGCTTGTCCATTAGAGAGCCCTGATCCGGTGAGTAAGTCCCAGGTATCTTGTGGAAGTTGAGATGGCGTTCATGGTCGCGTTTGCTCCGCCTCCCCGGTCGAAGAACATTGTCACGTCTTTCTAACCAGCTGCGAGGTGGGCGCGGCCCAGGGGGCAACCTCCTTCCATGGTCATCTACTCGCACGGGTCTCCGAGGTGGAGGGGGAGGTGTCTCAGGGATTTGGAGGATCTGCCGGAGGGCCGGAGGAAGAGTCGCGGGCTGTGCGCTGGATGATGCCGTGGACACAATGGATGAATAAGAGACGGGCGAGGTGACAGAGTATGGATGGTTAGACGAGACTAGAGATGCCCGACGTAAGTCGGCCAACAGTTCGTTGACCCCTTTCGGCTGTCCATCTATACGGGGTGACATTAGCTACAGGGAACAAAAAGCTACAGAAGAGTGGACAGCAGAGGTTCGGAACTCGGCATTACCGGCCTGAGTCGATCTCGTGGACCCAAGAGAAGCTGGAGCCGTGGACTGTGGCTTGGAGTACTTGGCTTGATGATGTCGTTTCTTGGGCATGTCACAAGGCAGTCGCGGGCCGGTCGCGTGGCTGGGCTTCACGATTTCAGCGACACAAAGGTGGGGGACGTTCGGGGTAAGGTATGGAGTCCGGAGGGCTCCAAGCAAACAACTAAAGATTAGAACGGAAGAGGAGGGTAGAAAATGTGTACGTTGGAGGCGAGTTGTAGATTGCCTGCAGTTCAAACTCGGAGTCTGAGTAAAAGAGAGAGAAGCACAGTGCATTGGGAGTAAGGGCACACCGAGTGGCCAAAGTCTACAGTAATACTTCGTAGTTGTCCCGTTTTAGCTGGCTGGACTCCGTGGTCTCCACAACGGGTCTGGCTCCCCTGTCCCGTTTTGGTTCCTGTTTAACGCCAAGATGACCTTCTGGTAGCGCTGTAGGGCTGTTTTCTGGCCAGAATGACTCATATATGCCTTTCTTTACCTATTTCTGCTCGGATACAAGACACGCTCGCGTCTTCGCTTCCTATCTGATACCGTTTGAGCTAGCTACCTCACGGTCCGCGGTGACTCGTTCCAGTAAGGTATTTATCCGTACCTTACGACGTGATACAGTATAGACACTGTATGATGGTGAGAGTGCCCCTCCCCCGCGATGGTGGGTCGCACGTTGGAGATGATAAGAGCTGATAAGGTGAGCTAGGTACCTGTAACATTGTCACACTCGCGAGTGACACTGCCTCCTCCTCCCGTCATACCGGACCTACAAACAGGTAAGGTTGGCAATACCGTATGATTCCTACATATGGCCATGTTGACACTTAGGTTAAGCAAGCACAACAAGCAAAACAGGGAAGTAAGGGGCCTTTAACAAACACCTGGTCCGTGCTGTATGTATTTTCGGGAGAAGGCACGGAGTACTTCGGCAGGTACCTGCATGGTGAACAGGTCACCGGGTATCAGCCGTCCTCCTAAATTGGTTGCACCGCTCTGACACGACAGACGACACACTATTACACTGCAAGTATACCCGGCCACCCCCCTCTGATGACCAGCGTAATAGCGATTCATGGGCGACTCTCTGCACCACTGCCTGTATGCTTTCATCTGCGGTAGCGGGTCACTTCCTCCCAGCCCCTTGACCATCGGTGCGCGATCGGAGACCCGTTCCATCCTCCTACTCCCAGACGGGCCCGTCCCCGTTCTGGCACCTATACGAGACACACATCCACACGCACTCATCACTACCTGGCATATCGGCTATATATGGGTCGGTACACCAAGCTTGAGGCCGCATCCTAGGCCGCAATCTAGAATTCTGGGTATTCGTTGCACAGGGACAGCTAGCGCCGACATGCTCATGCGGAGAGCAGCGCTCCGTCAGGTTCGTCTCACTATGCCATCTCCCCCTCCTTCATATTCGCCAAGTCGGCGTCAAATGGGAGCTGGTGTTTGAGAGCTCTGACATGAACGCCTGCGGCCCTTGTGTCGGATGAACCCCATAGGTCATTTGGAGAGAATGATCTGCAACCCGAGCCCTCCATGGTATGTCTGTGACACGCTCCTGGCCTCAGTCGAACACGATATCTGCGTCTTTTGAGCTCCATAATATGCCCTGTCACATGGACTGGATGTCCGTCATGCCGGCGCTGCCTGCAGAAACCTGCCCTAGCTCAGACTCTCTGTCCGGACTTTGTTCCAGAAGGCCAAGACCAAGGGCCTTTGATTTCGGCCTCGGATCATCGGGCGGCCCCTCACCATACCGCCTTAAAAAGTTCAAAGCCCGAGAGCCCCATGCCAACATGGATGGCGCTCACCTAATATGTCGGGCCCGCTTCTGTGAGTATGGACGACAGTTGAATGGCCACGCTGATGGGCACTGCGTGAATTCATGCGCCTGAAGGGTTGGTCTGACGATTCGATCTGACGCGGTGCATCCCTTTCTCCTCCCCTCTTGACCGGACAGATCATTTGAATCCCATTCACTGGACGATACCGTTACGCATGCAGGTACTGGCGTCCTTCGCTCCTCGTCTGTCGGAGACACGGCCTAGGCAAGGCCAGCTGCTTCCTTATTCCACCCCCCTGGCGTCGCCTAAATTGACCTGAAGAGAGTCGCCCTGACCGCCTAACTTCGAATCTTACCAGGTTCTAGGTGTCGTTCTGTGCCATGCAGTCCAGATAGAGGCTGCTCTGAAAGTAAAGTGATTGTCCGTGAGGCCACACACAAGATCTTGTTTAACGTTGCATCCTCGAGTCGCGTGCTCATTGGCATAGACATGCCGGTATGAAACTGACGCGGCAAAGAGGGGCGGGATAGTACATCTCACACGGTGTTCGCGAGGTGAGAATCCCTTTCCCCCGGGCCCCAACAACAACAACAACAACAACAACAACAACAACAACAACAACAACAACAACAACAATGGCAATGACAATGACAACAGACCACTCGGCCCATACAGACAAGAAATCAGTACCCAAGTCGGATACCGAATCAAGGGACAAGCATATGACGAGTTTGTTAACCGGATTGAGCTGAGTTAACCCAGATTAGACCTTGCTAGCATGTCGTTGGGCAGAGACAAAACCTTTAGAAGTACCGCCAAAAGGGATTCGAGTTGTGAGAAGGAAGAGGGGGGAAATAGAAGGGAAAAAAGAAGAGAAAGGAACCAGCCAGTGATCTGACGGCAATCAAGTAAGCTTGCACCGCATAATGGGAACACTATTCAGTAGTCAACGTCCTATTGCCACGAAGAAGGCAGAGTAATATGAACAGTATGGGTTGGAACGAGGATCACCGAACCTGATCGGGAAGGGGAATGTGAATGAGTATGAGAATTGTCCTTGTCTCTGGAGTGAAGAGATGCGAAAAGGACGTCCCAGAAAGCTGCAGGCATGCCGAACCCTTCGCGCCCTGTGGGACACTTGTCGGCAGATGAACGGTCGCAACCCGTATTCGGCATGGCCATGCCGAGAAAATGCCCCCGGCAAATGTTTTTGAATTTTCGTCACCGCCATGAAATTAGTCAAGTCTAGCATCACTGCATTGCGATATGCATGTCATCGGGTTCCCGAGCCCGCTGAAACGAGAGCCGGAATGGATGGACAGATGATGACAGGCGAGTAAGGTAGGGGCGTGCTCCGTCATGTTCGCTGTTTACCTATTCACGACACCCACGACAACTCCTGCAGCTTGCTGATCCAATGTACTCGAGATTCGAGGGCTTCAGCAGTTCCACTTGCTTTCTGCAGACAAATATAGAAGCTTACAACCGTACTTGGATCTGTGTAAGCGGGACTGGAGACTCCTAGACAACAATACTGACCGTAGGTAGACAGATTGGTGTGTCGGTCAAATGCGTCAAGGTCAGTGTGGGGATTGTACCTAAAAGGAGGCACCGTCTTCTTCACTTGCTGCCGAATGAGCTCGTTCTGTTGTCCACGGGAGTGACCATAACGAAGATTTATCGGCCACGAATACTTGGTCGCACTGCAGAAGCCCAACGGGGCTGTCTCCTGGAAGCAAATCGAATGACGGTGTGGGAAGGACTAAGAGCTTCCTAAGTGATGGTGCGCCTCCCATAGTCGTTGCAACTCCCGATCTCGATTACCCACACCCAATTCTTGGGAGACACCGAAAGAAGGGGCCATGATACTTGGGCAAAGCGGGCATTGTTTTTTTTCTGGTGCGTTGGCGATTCTAGGTCGATAGAATGGAACGGGGAGAGGGTTAGAGGAGACCTTTGCAAAGGAATATTTTCGAAAGTGGGATACGAGATCCAATGCAATGGACGAGGCGGAAGTCGAAGGCCGCAATGGGAGCCTGCAGAAAGCAGAGGCGGCAACAAGGAGGAAGTCGCAACCCAGCAATAGCAACATACGGCACTTGGAAGTCGGATGTAATTATGTAATTACGAAGTACAGGTATAGTTGGGAATCGATGCTTGGCTGATACCTCCTGATTGGTCACTGGTCGCACCTCATCCCCGCCACCTTCTTAACAGGATCGGTTCATTTAAGAGTGGGTCATTATCGTTGTGGGTCCGTCGACCCTATCAACATTCGCTCTTGACCTCACCGGCCTCCTTTGACCGAGAACTTTCCCGGCAGGTTTTCCTCCCGACTCACCCCTTACGACCTTCATGGCGTCGTCCCATCGGCCTGCCACGCTCACGGAATGCAACTAGAATTCTCCGCCTACATTCCAAGTCATTTTCTGACACTTTATCCACTCTACACCTTACCCTTATAACGCTTGTCCAACGGGAAGGTGGCCGTCCTCGCCGAGCGATTGACGACATCACTCTCCTTGAACAGAGACAAGCCGAACTTTTCCACGGACGGTCCCAAGTGTGTCAGCTCTGGTAGCAGCACTCAGTATGTGCTATGCCACCTCATCCTTTCTAATGTCGTCAGTTGAAACCATGAGTGAGCTACGCCCACTCACGGCTCCTTAACCCGATGGCTGTCCCAGTGACTAATCGGCGGGATGCGCTTGACGTCCCTGGAAACGAACCGGGAAAGAGGCATGTTATGCATATCTAATCCTGGCCTTCTCGTGTCAGGCGTACAAGTCCCATACGAGTTCCCCATATGCGTCCCTGCCTATGTAGGTATTCTCATGTCAGCCATCGACCACATCCAGCGCCACATCCAATCTGCTGGTGTCCTCTGTCTTGACTGACGCTTTGCTAGTGACTCGCATGTCACAAGCCCACCACCCATCCGCGGTATTTTTTCTTGCTCGCCTCAATACCTGGAGGGAGACCCTGGAATCGATTCTAGAGCTGGAAGGAGGTGATATGTCATTTGTCACCTAGTACAAGATCTGAAGATCCCTGGACCCAAAAATATGGGGTAAGCAGCATTCCCACCTGTCACCGCTGACGTTCCCTATGTACAGCAAACACAACCAAATCCAGTTATACTTCTTTCAGAATGGCATCACTGGACTCTGGTTTGGGCTTCCCAGGGTGATGACCACCTATGCCAGGGAGCAGGAACCTGAAGGCATCAGACGGTGCGTTACTACCTACCAGGTAGACTCTGCATAACGTACGAGCAAACTACGGACACACCACACTTGGAGCCAAGCCATGCATCCTAAGCTGGCGCCATTATTGTCTCTCCACTGCGCCTGCGGTCGAAGACTGGAGTCCTTCCTTCACCGGTAAGACGGTGTATTTTTTTCTTTACCCAGCAGACATCGCCTTCTTGACCTACAATTCCATTCACGACGGATCGCGAGCGCGGGTTCGTCCGTCTGGCTTGTTGTCTGAACAGCCCGTGGCCGAAAGGGCTCGTCTGCTGCCTTTTCAAGCTTTCACACTGATCGCAACAGAGACTCTGTCGACTTGACCGACCGAGCTTCCCAAGACGGATATCGGCCGACTGTCAAATGTCCATCACTCTTCAACATGTCGTCTCACCCAGTCTTGATGGGCTAGGCGCTTAATTGGGTGCTCTTCCTCAGATAACAGGTCAACTAGGCACTCATCCAGGAATCGCCATTTAAGACCATGCATCTGACGTGCTAGTCCATGTATAACTCGGGCCTGTGCGTATCGAGCCCGTATTCGCCTACTCGTGGCCTCCCTGTCTGCACGGCTGGTAACGGGAACCTGCACAAACCTCACGGCCGCAGTTTTCTTTGTCATGGCTGTTGCTGTCGATTTCGATTCTCGGAGGCCGTGGTACCTTCACGTGGATCACCCAGATGGCATCCATGCCATTTTCTCTGCTGGCCCGACAATTTGGAAACGTAGCAGAGCAGGCAGTTCATTTCTCTTTTCTTCTCGGATAACTATCCACGCTAGTGGTCGGAGAAGTTATGAGCCACTCGATACAATGGCGTTCTTCGCTCTTATCTTACGGAACATTGCTCGGCACTGTAAGCTCTCTTACTGGGCTCTCCATGATCTCCGGGTGTCGAGGGATAGCTATTAATGGCTTCCAACCATCGCCAATTATCTCATCAGGGGTTGGCTGTCTACAGCTTATACTCATCAGCTGCAGCTTTGCGCCATCGCAGAGCTGCCCATGCTCGCCCACTCGTCCAGCACGGTTGCTTACTCTCTTGATTGAGGCTGTTGAAGTGAGATTCACCTTGGTGAGACAGCCGAACCTCCCCCTGTCCAGCCTGCAGTTTGTCATGAGTCGATTGATGTCGTTCCCACCAGCTGTCGATGATCGTCAAAGTGAGCTGCATCTGTCTCGTCTTCGTAGTACTCACCGGACCGCCAACTACCTTAGACAGGAAGAGCTACAGCTACCCAGAGCCTTGGACACTTGGCATGCAGTTCGCTCCATTTGCTTTTGTATATGTATTAAGTGGGCACCATCCATATCCATCATGGGGGCCGTGTCTGTTAGCTCAGTCGTCAGTTCTCTAACCTCATGCAAGCAATCCGATGACACGGGACGGAGACTTTCAGCCAATCTCTTTGCAACTAACTCGTTATAGCTGACCTGTCGACGTCAGTGTGGGAGCATGGCGGGACTCGCGGCCTTCAGGCAACCTCGATCCAAGTGGCGGAAAGTGCATGGCCGTCGTTCACATCCTACCATTGCGGCTGCGGCCAACCGTGGTGGACTATTGATAGGCCAGGGAAACTCATCCTCAATCAAATTGGTGTTTGTGGCGTTTCAACTTAGCCCTTGGGAGACGGGTTGCCGCATATCTGATGCATGGGAGGGTAGAAGCAAGGAGCATGCGCCTAGCGAGCCCGGGCGTCGGAGCATTGTCTTTCTTATGTTCATCAAAGAGGGGCGGCGGCCTCGACGATACCCGGGCAACAAACTGCCCAGGCCTGCCGCCGTGGGGACGTGAGACAAATCTACCTTACCTATCTTAGGTACGTACAGTACCATACGGTGAGTTACCGGTACAGGATGAGACGACAAGGAGGAGACCGGAAACGAAGCCACGGGACCCTGGGAGGCCACTGGACAAGGATAGGTCGAGGCCCAAAAAACCGCCCGATACTTCGCCGCCCGATACTTCGACTGCTTTATTTGGCAACAAAGATCGCGACAACGTTGATAGACCTTCGGCGAAGCAAGTATCGAAGCACGAACTCTCCGCAGATATGGCCCTGACGAATCATTGTGGGTGGGTCGAAGCGAAATCCTCGCTCAATAGCTCGGCGAGCAGCATACCAACCAGGCCATTCTCGTCAACGATGCAAACGCTCATCTGTCATGGCCTCATATCAACCAGGAAACAAGGATCTTCTAGCTCCCCACAATTTCGATGTCCCTTCTGCCGTGATCTCAAGAATCTGCACCACCACTCCTTACATGCGAAGATGCATCCCCACTATCCCTCTTCCGAACTTCAACTTCGCAGCGCTTCTGGAAGTCATCCATCTATCTGTGCGGGAACATTCTATGTTTCCATTTGTTCTCGCTCTGTGCCACCTCCATCAACAGTCGCGTGCTGAGCTCTGACCCTGGAGTGCATCCTGGGTGCGAGCCTTGGTCGGCCATATTAGGAGTTGCAGGGGGAGATATATAGGTCGCCGCACCTCCTTGGAATATGCACATTATCATTTTCCCTACAGAGGACCTATTTCTCTGATCCTTTCGTTCGGTTGTGTCTTTCTTTTTACCTCTTTCTACCTTCTTCTTCTTTTACCCTCCTTCCCGAGAAAAGTTACAACATATGCGTCTCACTCGCATTAGTGAGCCAGTCAATCAGCTTTTCTCAAGAAGTCCCTACCACTTAGACGACGAATTAAACCGCCTTCGAGTCCGTTATCGCGGCGCATTCCATCGTCTTCCATTCTCATACCTTGTATTTATCTCCACTTGAGAATAATTGAGGGAGGGAAAAGAGCCCTCCCCCGGTTATAGGTGAGTGATGGATTCCCCTCACTCGGGATCTGCTCCTGGGCGAGAGGACTCTGCGGCAGTGTCGTCGAAGAGTAGCAAGATTGGACGTTAGGTTCTGGCCCAAGGCTGCGGTCTCTGCGTTCGATATGCTCCGATCGCTGGTGCCCATCCTATTCGTTAGGGCCATCTGCCCATCCTCCCCCATCGGCAGCCAGGGAATATTATTGCAAGCATGGGGGAGCCAGGCGCTGATTGTCCAGTAGGAATCACGGTTGTGAGCTCTGAAGCTGCAAGTCACATCCCTTCCCGAAGCACTTTTTTTTTTATCGACGTGAATGGCGCCCGAGAGCCGGTGTGGAGGGTCGGCAGAACCCTTGGGCCGGGTCACTGCCACTGACGGGCAATTATCTCGACAGCAGCCGGGCCCCGGAGCGCGGAACTGGACGGACTGTGCTGACGTGGGCTGAATGAGCCAGATTCCCAACTTGTGAGGATCCGCTGGCGGACTCCTAGAGGTTAGACCAATCGCCAAGACTCCTTCTCGAACTGGTAGCTAATACGCGTCCATGGCTCATGGTTTGAAGAGGGCCAAGGATTTCGGCAACGAATCTCACAGCGCCAGATCGAGCCTGTATTACTGTACGGCGGCCACAGCATCGCTCATCGCGTCTGAAGACGGTCGGATGAATCCCAAGGTAACCTTGTCCCATACTTCCCCCATGACACATTTTTTCTTTCCAGTCTTGTTCTGCCTCCCTTGGTGGGATCAACGCGGCTCGGAGGGGGGGGGGGGGGAAGAAGAAAAAAGAAAGGAAAGGAAGAAAGAAAAACCCCCGGTCAGCACATTCACTTCAAAGTCGGTGGGGGTGAATTCAAGGAATTTTCCCACAGGGCTGGCCAATAGCTATCTGCGACCATCGAGTGGTCACACGGACAACGCAGTATAAAAAAAGAACCAAAAAAAAAAAGAAGAAAAAAAGGCATAGGAGCCAGTTTGATACCAAGTGTGGGGGAAGCAAGATGATACGGGAGGCGCCGAGGTATGTAACGATTTGGCGATTTCAACGCCGCATCTCGTCTTTTCTCTTCTCCCCCTTGCCTTTTCTCCCCTTCCTTTTATTATTATTATTATTATTATTCCCCCCCCCCCTCTCATGGTTGTCTGTCTTTTTTTCTTCAAGATTTTCTTCAAGGGGTAGGGTGGGACGTGTGTCCAGGATTTTGACTGGACGGCGTGCAAGGGATGCATATGGGATGGACTGCAAGTAGGAACGCAGCCTGCTCAAGTACTACACCGACCCGATTACATCTCTCCCGACATCTGGAAAGTGCTGGGGCCGGGTGGTCGAGGTCA